TGTCTGACATCAACCAATCCACGAAACGGCGCCACCATCTCCCATTGTGCTGAGGTAGATATTTGTCTCTACCCGACATGAATTAGCTCCACTGGTCAAGTTTTACTTTGTACCTGAACTCTAAACAGTAGCAAATAGGATGAAACGCTATTCATAGATTTCAATATCAGTCAGTATCCAATTTAATTCATAGATTCAATAGCTAATACTTAGAATGCTTTTGTAGATCAAACTTAATTGTAAAGAATAGCTTTACCTTCTATGACAACTAATATCTCTTCAAATATCTTAGTTAAAAAATATTATGGTTATTGGCTTTTTGCTTTCACAAAGACTAGTTGTAACATGGATAGGAATGAAATAACACAATAACTAGCTAAAATATCATTTCAATATGAGTTTATTTCTTGTTCAACATTTATACATTTTATCAGAAGGGGTTTTGTGTAGATTTTAGAAATTTCACTGATTTAAACCATGAGCCAATTGAAGCTAGACCACCATGGAAAACCTGGAACCACTGGACAGCCGTTTCGTCCTAGTATGGGACTCCTCAGCAGTTTGCATCCACGATCCCGCCTCGTGAGATTCTAACTCAGGACCTATCAATCTCACGCCGGGCGCTTAACTAACTAGACTACTAAGCCGGCCGGCATTCAACGGTGTTAATGTCTAACTTCAACCAATCCACCAACTTGCTCCAACTGACTCATGATCTCAATCAGTGAAATTTACAGATTTAACCAGTTATTAGCACTGTACACTTGAATACTTAATTGAATTCTTGACAAATGTAAAATGTTGTTCTGTTCTTCTGTTAATGGAATGATTGGAAATGTTCTTTCTGTTTTGATCACTACATTATGTGTAGTCTACTATCTCTATCTCGGATTCCTCTGTGTGAAATACAATAGTCGATTATTATTTCCTAATTTAACTGTCCTAGGTAAAGTTGGGTCATAAAGAAAGATATTGAAGTATAACTTAATATTCAGTTTAATTGAGTGATAATAAAAGCCTCATCTAAAAAATTAATAATTCTCATTTTTGTAAGAAATGTCATGAATAGAAATGTTGTAGATAACATTTACCTGAAGTAGGTAGTAAAATGTCTACTAATTTAGCACAAATAATTTGCCTACTTAATTAGTAGTTAGTAGTTAACGCATGAAGGAGGAACAAAAAGGCATCAATCAATACCAGCCGAACAAGAGCAGAAAAAGCAAAGGTACACGCTGAATACACAAAACTAAACAAGCAAGTGAAGAGAAGCACCGAAACCGACAAGCACAAATATGTGGAAGATTTAGTAATGTCGACGGAAGACGCTGCAAGAGAAGGGAACGTGAGACAATTGTATGATACAATAAAGATATTCTGGAAATTGTCGTAAACCAGGACGACCAGTGAAAAGCAAAGAAGGCAAAGTAATCACCAACATTGAAGAACAGGGAAATAGGTAGGTAGAACACTTTAAAGAACTCTTGAATAAACCAGCCCCACTGAACCCACCCAATATCGAAGTAGCACCCACGGGCCTCCCAATCGATTTTGGCCCACCAACAATTGGAGAGATCAGCACAGCCATCAGACAAATCAAAAGCGGCAAAGTAGCAAGACTAGACAACATTCTGGCAGAAACACTGAAAGCAGACGTAACGGTCACTGCAAAGATACTCCACATTCTCTTCAATAAGATTTGGGATGAGGAACAAGTACCAAAAGACTGGAAAGAAGGACTTCTAGTCAAAATACGAAAGAAAGGCGATCTCAGCAACTGTGATAACTACAGGGGCATCACTCTTCTCTTAGTACCGTGCAAAGTATTCGGCAGGGTATTGTTAAACAGAGTGAAGGACTCCTTAGACGCCCAACTTCGAGACCAACAGGCTGAATTTCGTAAGGATAGATCGTGTACGAATATATCGCAACACTTCGGATCACTGTGAAACAATCAATTGAATGGAATTCATCACTTTACATCGACTGCATTGACTACGAGAAAGCATTTTATAGCGTGGACGGAAAAACACTATAAAGCTTCTTCGACACTACAGCATATCTGAGAAGACAGTCTTACGGATTAGACTGCAAAATTGTGTATGGAGGACAGTTCACAGACTCGTTCGAAGAAAAGACCGGTGTCAGGCAATATTGCTTACTCTCGCCATTTATCACTCTCCTGATGATCGACCAGACCATGAAAATGTCAACATCTGGGTGGGAAGAGCATGGGATACAGTCGACAGGTAAGATGAAGCTGGACGATCTAGATTTCGCAGATGATCTGCTTCTTCTATCACACACGCAACAACAAATGAAGGAGAACACGACCAGTGTAGCAGCAGCCTCAGCAGCAGTAGGTCTCAACATACACAAAGGGTAAAGCAAGACTCTACAATACATCACAGCATGAACCAATCAAATCGCACTTGATAGAGAAGCTTTGGAAGATGTAAAATCTTTCACAAGCACTAACTTAGAATCGTGAATGAAAGTGGAAAAGAGGGTTGCCAAAGAACACATTACGTTAGGAAATAGAAGTAGATATGAGAAGGATGAAAAAAGCTGGAAATAGCTGTAAACGATTGCCCATGACAGAGTTGGATGGTGAGTGCTTGTGGGCGGCCTATGCTGCTCGACGAGGGGTAACAGGTGTAAGTAATGATATTATAGTAGCAATTGATTAACTTACAAATACTTGAATAGACAATACAAATAGCTCTATCAATAATAAGTTCACTGACCATTTATAGTAACTCCCATGACCGTACATTTAAATATTTGAAAATGTACCGTTTGGCGTTACTTTCCTGTGTTAGACAACAGTTAAACATTAAAGGGACTTGATAGACGTTTCTTCTTAGTATGGAACTACTCATTAGATTATATCCACGAACTTCCACTGAGAATGAAATTTACAACCGTCGGTTTCTCACGCGAACGCCTAACCTGTAGACCACTAGGCCAGGATCTAATAGTGTATAAATCTAGCATTAATCAATCAAAGATATTGCACTACCATTTACTATTGCCTTTGGTGGATACTTAAAACAGTTTGTGGTATACGCGATAATTAACAGTCTCCACAACTAGAGTAATCACAATTATGGTATGGTCACTAGCGGCTGGCTTTATGAGAAATTTCTGGAGTTTTAGATAGAAACCGTGATCAATGGTGTTAGATGTGAAAGAGGTACTCAATAAATGTAACGAATGACGGTTATGCAATATCGCCAATTGATTGAAATCAGTTCAACCCTCGGTGGAGAAGTCATCCTGAAGGTCTGATCAACAAGGCAGTAGAGCAACGTCAGGAGATGAAGTCACATGGTGGCCGGTGACCAACGATTGGTTCATACCCTATTTGTTCCATCAGGATCCTTGAGCTTATGTGCACCACTGGTCTTGAATCAGAGTTTTCTAACTCACCTAGGTGGACTGTCCGTGTCCACCAACCCGGGTAAAGCACTGCCTTCTCGCTACTGGAGTGTTGTTTATGAAATTGAGAGGATGAAAAGCGGATATCCGATGCTTTAACCAGGTTGGTGGATATGGAGTTTTCATCAAGGGAAGTTGGAAAACCCTCATTCCAAACAAATGGTACACATTAGCTTCAGGATACTGATGGAGCAAATGGCGTATTAACGAATTGTTGGTCACTGGCTACCATGAAACTGCATCTCCACAAGTTGCTCCATTGACTTAAACCTGCAGGTGCATCTACTCTTTGTGTCCTCCCAAATTCTAATCTTGAGAACTCTTCATGTCCCTTCTTTTTGAATCCTCCTTGTCTGTTTTTTTCTCTTTCCAAATTTATTTCACTGGACTATACTCATTGAATAACATCAACAAACCTTCATCTTTCCGATTACTGCTTATACTTTTACTACTTCTACAACTATGGGATTTGAATCGACAATTGTATGTGTGTGCTAATGTGGCATGGCAACTCGAAGTTATGTACGTACGTACATACGAAGTTCTACGTTGTTGCTGACTGACTGACTATTATAAAACATCATTAACATACTGTTAAGCTGAAGTGAAAAACAATATCAGTAGAAGATTGTGGAGATTGTTGAGTTTAGATTGATATCATGTATAGAACAACGTTAAACCGCCATTGAAATTTAAAAGCACTAGACGGCTATTTCATCCTAGTATGGAACTTCTCAATGAATGATCCCATAATAAAAGGACTCGGACCCAGGACTTTCACAGTCTTTCGAGCAAACGCTTAACTTTCACTATTATCTTCAGTGGATAACTACTTCGTAAGCGAGACTGAAACTCTTTAGGTTTAAATCCCATGAAGTAGGATCTTGATTGTGTTAGGGATGCAGAGGAATATACCAATAATTATCGTGTTAAGTCGGATGGTATTCTTGGACGTTAAATGGACATTTCCTATTGGTCGATATTTGTTTCACTTGTTAAATATTGTGTAAATGTTGTTTTCTATTTTATGGTACGATGTGGTTTGTTTGTTTGGTATATAAACAGAGTATGTCTGAAATACAATGATTCATATCTCAGAGGCTGTGACTTGCATTCTGGACTCAACTGGCTGGGCTAGACAGGAAAGCAGGGCCAATCGGGACTCTAAGTCGTTCATTACGTGTTTACGTGTCACTGAGTCGATCGATGTAAACGCTGCTTATCAAAACCTGCAGTCACACGTTACAACAGATTGAACACTGTTGAGAAGTCCTATACTAGAACGAAACAATCATCTCGTACTTTGAGTTTTCAATGATGATCTAACATTCAATCTAAACTGTAATTAAATACATTTTCACTCATTTGAAATCAGAAGATTCATTTGTTAAAAACAAAACATACTGTATTATATGCATATTAAAAAGTGAAATCTAAATGCGTGACATACAAAAAAAATTCATAAAAATAAAGTGTAATTTTAACCCTACCCCTACCCCCCCCAAAATAGAATATGTAGTATTACATAACTATACTTGAAAAATACATAGAACTAACATTTATACTCTACTTAATAAACTACTTATATATGTAGGTTGATTACTTTGATTATTCTTATTATCAGTAGTATTAGTAGTAGTATAATTAGTATTAGTAGTATAAGTAGTAGTAGCAGTATCAATATTGATTAATGGATTATAGAAATTCTCTTGTGTAAATGAACTAGTTTGAGATTGTGGTAATTTTAAAAATGTTATAAATGGTGAATTACAAGTTGTTATAAATGAATTATGTAATAAAGAAGGAATAGAATGATTATTAGTTGTTATACTATTACAATCATAATGATCATGATCATGGTCATGATAGATATCATTTGATTGACATATACATGAAGAATCTAATGGATTATTATTATTATTATTCATCATCCTCATCGTCGTCGCCGACGTCGACGTTGTCATCATCATCATTGTCATAGGATCAATGATATAATCTATATGATTTGGATATGATTCCATAGATTGTTGTTGTAGTAGTTGTAGTTGCTGTGGTGATTGTTGTTGCCTTGGTGATTGTTGTTCAATAGGTAATTCATATTGTAATGATTGTTTACAATGAAATGTTTGTAAATAATTTTGTTTTGTAGTTGTAATTAATTTTTTTGTAAATTTTTGTTTTAACCAATAAATCAATAAACTTATACTACTTATTAAACTAATCAATAAAAATAAACAACATAATATAATTACAGTAATTAAATATTGATTATGTTTTGATAATAATCTCCATTGATTATTGATAATTGATGTTTGATTATTGATTAATGGAATATGAATTATTTTTGAACTACTTACAATTGATTGACCATTATGAGTAATATATACAATTCTAATTTCATATTGTGAATCTAAATAGATTAGAAATAAACAATGAACAGAAAAGAGTTTAAAGTGATGGTGGTGGTGATTATTTGTGATGATAATCATCATTAAAACCTTCGATATGGTTAGTTACTAACTTGTTATAGGTAAACACGGATCTTGTGGAGTTCAAAATCCATAACTAGTTTAGTTTGATTCCTTCTTTCATAGCAGTCGATATCAAATAGTTAAAATGAACTCGTCATTGTCTAATGTTGTCTCTGTTAGAAGTGGTGTCATACAAGGTAGTGTCTTAGGTCCTTTGCTTTTTTTTAGTGTTTATCAATGGTGTTTGTGAAAGTTTTTGTGTCGGTAAGCCCCTTCTATATTCAGATGATCTTAAAGTAGTATATTCATTTTCTCCATATGAGCTGAACAATATGCAAAATTGCATCAATATGGAGCTTAACAAAGTAGTGTAGTGATGATAAATATGGCAGCTGGAGCTTAACGCAGCTAATTGTAGATGGATATGCTTCGGCGACACATCACTCAACTTAGATCTTATCATAAATGGAGAATTGTTATCTAGGTTACATACAATAGTAAACTTAGGACTTAGGTACTCCTACGACTTGTCGTCTACAGAATAGGTATTGAAACAAACCTCCAAGTCTTAACATCTTATAGATTGCATAACTCGAAACCTTTATAACAACAAGTCACATATTTTGATGTATAAAGTTTGTGTTTGACCACTCCTAGAATACGGCACATTTATCCTTAGTTGTGTGTGGATAAAGAATAAATTAAGGTTGGAGTCAGTATACAGAGACGATTTACACTTTGGATTCTTGGAACTGATTGTATCATGAATTATAATTCTAGATGTAATGAACTTGGGCTAGACCTTCATAGAAAAGGTGACTCAAGCTAAATCCAATCATTACTCCTCTGAAAATGCATTAAATGTTGTAACCACCTGTAAGTGTATCTTATTCCACAAGTAGTATTATGGGAACTTTAAATGTTTAACTATTCTTAGCAGTGAATTCCCTAAGTAAATCACCTACCTGCTGATACTTTACATTAACACCGTCTCTGGAAACCTTAAGTAATCTGAATAATATCTGACATAAACAGTATATCACAGAGTCATATGATATATGCATTATGGTAGAGCTGATTGACATATTTTAGTAAGTATTGCTTTGTTGTTCCATACTCTCTATTTCCATTTTACTTTCTTTAGTTGTAGATAATTATCATTCATTCGATCTGGCACAGGAAATCATCTTAATTACATCATTCATAAATCAACAGGCTGTTCATTTAAGAAGAATTAAAGGTTTCCGACTGATGCATTAGATTGCTGTAATATACATGTACTACCTAAACAATTACTGAACTAGTATACTTAAAACTTCCTTCTGTCACATGTTTGTCCTCTCATCACATACAGATAATCAAAATTATAGATACGTTAAGTAAGCATGAAAGAGTAGTGCCGTAAAGCTAACAGGTAGGGGTGTAAGTGTTAGGTCCCGACAAGCATAGTGAATGGTAAGTTTTGGGATCAATTTATGGACTAACACTAAAATTATATTTCTATTGTATAGTTATTGAGTAACCAAACTATGTATATTCATATTCCTGTTATATAAGCTCTATTTAGACCCATGAACCATTATTATACGTTTTACCATTCTTGAGTTATACCCAGTATACTAATTACTACCTCCCTCATTCACAGCCACATTTGGCTAATTCTTGTACAAATGCTGTTTCATATTTAACTGGTACAGTATGGTCTGAGTGCTCTGCTAATGTATACGTAACGATACCGCCAATTAGAGAACAGTGAATCATCTACCGGACCAATGACGCATAAAACACGTACGAGCAATCTAGAGTCCTTATCACTACTGCTTCCTCCTTCCTGCTTAGCCCAGCTATTTACGTCCAGAACACCAATCACAACCTCTGCAATATGAATCATGTATTTCAAACATACTGAGGTTTATATACCAACCATACAGACCACATAGTACCATAAAATATGAAACAACATTTGTACAAGAAGTAGCCATATGTGGCTGTGAATGTGGCAGAATGTAGTTAATAGACAGGGAATAATTCAAGAATGGTAAATCGTATAATAATAGTTCATAGGTCAACATAAAGCTCATAATAAGGGAAACATGATTATTAATAGTTTAGTTACATAACAATTATACGATAAAAATATACGTATAGTAGTGGTCCATAAATGGATCCCAAAAGTTACCATTCACTATGCATATCGGGACCTAACAGTAAGCCAGTGTGCGTAATAGTCAGCGAAACAATGAACATGATTCATATGTACATATATATATATATATATTTAGTCAAATGAATAGAACATTGAATCAATTAAGCGATTACCAGTGAAGCTATCCGAATAAATATATGAGTAGGCAGTAAGTAATACTCAAGTATACATATTCATACGAGTGCAACAATAATAAAAGTACAATGATATAGATAAGTTGTTATAGTACTCATGACTCATTCCGTTGAACAAGTTAACAAAAAGCTTTTAACCAAATTAAATGTGAACAAATTCAATTGCATATGAGCTTTTATAAGAGATTAAGCGTTCATGTGAGAGATCAATAGATTCTGAGTTCGAATCTCGTGAGAGAGTAGAATCGTAGATGTACATTGTTGAAAAGGAGTCTCAATTATTAAAACGAAATGATGGTTTAGTGTATCTAGGTTTTCTATGATGATGAACTCATGAATTCAATGAATAAAATAAATTACATTAATCTAATTGGTTAGATTTCTTAGAGAAGTTTTCATTGATATGAATTCGGTTTAAGATTGAAAAATTACCTTGGTCACTTTAGAATCTTAACTATGAGGATTATTTATTTAAATGCATAAACATTGATACAAGGAGGTACCAAATAAATATGCATCACAATGAGTCATTCGATTTATGTGATGGCTAGGATACTGCCCGCGTACCCATACCAAAACAGGTGGTTAACTTACGAGGACACACCTTGAGAATTTGACCTACAGATCTAATCCATAAGGCAGTGAAGCGACTTGTGAAGATGCAGTTCCATGGTAGTCGGTGACCAACAATAGGTTCGTCCTCTATTTGTTTCCTTAGGATCCTGGAGATCATGTGCACCATTGGTTTGGAGTCATAGTTTTCCAAATCAGCTTGACAAATTCTCCATATCTAACAACACGGTTAAAGCAGCGGACATTCTTTTTTCGTTCTCTCAATTTCGTAAATAACAGTATTGCCGAGGGAAGCCAGTGAGTAGGACTTCCCCGACAATGATTGTATGTACGTGGCCATGTGAGAGCATTATAAGGGGGATAGTTGACTCTCCCCACTCTCGATCGTGCCAGCGCATTTAGGGGTTAGGTTCTCTAGGTCATATCATGGACTGGATTTTTTCAGACAGTTATTGAACATGACAAAGCACTAGATATGTATTTTATCCTAGTTTAGAACTAATCAGTAGTGCCCATTCACAACTCCATCAGGGTCTCGTGATCTCATGGAAGGCGCTTAATATTTAGATAACTGAATAACTATTAAATGGTTGTAAATTTCCAGCTTTAAACATTCTCGAATATTGAGCTCCCATCTTCTAACGAGTTTGATGGGTGGCTGATTGATTACCGAAATTGCTGAACTCCACTGATCATGGCATTTTATTAGAACTCTGAGAACTACCTCTCAAAATAAGTCACTGGTGATCATACGATTTCATCAACATAAACAGATCTACTTTATTGTCGTTTCCTTAACCTTTCATAATCAATATCAAACTATACTACCCGTGAATTTAAGTCAATAAAACTAGTGATCATAATGCAGATTAATCAAAAATTATACAATTCTTTACAGTCAAACTATCAATTGCCCCGGTATAGCCGAGAGTGGGGAGAGTCAACTCTTCCTCTCGAAATCCTCTCATATGGCCATGTGCATACAAACATTGAATTCTCTCGGCGTGAGAGTTTTTTTAAGAAATTGAGGCGACGAAAAGCAAATGTCCGGTGGATGTGTAGGATTCACTTTAGTGAGCTGGAAAACCCTGATTCAAAACCAATAGCTCATATGGGTTCCAGGATTTTGATGGAACAAATAGCATATGAACCAAATATTGGTCACCGGCTACCATGTGACTGCATCTCCTGACGTTGCTCCACCTTTAGATCAAAGGCTCCAAGTGTGACTCCCTAAGAAAACCATCTGTTTCGATCTGGCCACGCGAGCAGCATCATATCCCATACACAAAATCAAGTGATTCAATGTGGCGCATATGTATTCAATAAAATCAATAAAAAACTATACCTTTATTTAAATTACTTAATACAATCCATGAATTATGTAATTCTCTTTGAGTTTCTTCCCATATCTCTGTATCTAATTGACGAAATTGTACATAAAACATAAATGGATGATTAAATTTTTCAATTTGTTCATTATTATTTATCTTAAAGTTGTTGTTTGTATCTTGTTCAGTTATGAATGGAATTGTTGAAGACGAAGAAGACAAAGACGACGATGAAGAAGAAAGTGAAGATGAAGAAGTAGTAGTTGTTGTAACAGAAGAATCTGTACTATCATTAATCAACTCTGATTGATTTAAATCATAGATTGATGAAGATAATGGTGTAATCAATGTTAAATTTAATGCATTCACATAACCTTCGACGGAAGTGATTGTAAAAGGGATATAACCATAATCTGTAAAAATAAATGGTTAACAATAACAAAACTAGGGATTTATAGAGATTGTAGTAGTTTTATTCATGAGTTGATCTAAGCTAGAAAACTATTGAAAACGTAGAAGTACTAAACTGTTGTTACATCTTATCATAGAACTCCTCAGAAGTACGTATTTATGATCCAATACGTACGACTCAAATCCAGGACTCCTGGTCTCACCTGTGAATGATTATTCTTTAGATCACTGAACTGGTAACTAATGACGTTAATGCCTAACCTAAATCGATCCACGACATTGAACAATCGTACACAATTGTCTGAGATTTAGTGAAGGATAAAGAAATCATTTATCTTCAAGATTGCAACCAAACTCAAAGCATTTATTATTAATTCAACTGATAGATATCAGACCCGTGTACTTGACTATCATTCATACCTTAACTACAAGGTTTGATAATACAATTTGATAGCATAAACAAGAGTAAATAGAGGGTGGTTTTATTATTTTAGACCGTAATACTAACACCGAACCCCTAATCCTAATGTAGTGAATGAGAACACATAAATGGGGACAACCAAATTTATTTGAATGCAAAATTACAGAATATCTCGGTAAACTCTGAGCACAGTAAATACTTCACCAATCACTCTCTATTCTCGTTTTCGCTTAATTTTCTCAACATTCTGCCTCCAGGCATTGTAATTTTAATTGATGATACATACTACTTATATCTGTCGACATCTATCCAACTGGTGTTCATTTTTCTCATTTCTGTCTCCATTTCCCAGCGTAATGTGTTCTTTAGTCTTCCTCGTTTCCTTTAGTATTGAGGGTTACATGTGAGGGCTTGCCTTAGGCTGCGGTTGGACGCTTCCCTCAATTTGTGTCCTATCCACTTCCAGCGCCTCTTCATGATTTCTTTCTCCGCTACAATCTAGTTTGTTTTCTCACGAAGTAGGTTGTTGTTGATGGTGTCTGGTCAACGGATCCGAAGTATTTCGCGTAGACAACTGTTAATAAACACTTGTATCTTATGGATGATACCTTTCATAGTTCTCCAAGTTTCCACTCAACACAGTAGAACTGTCTTGATATTTGTATTGAGAATTCTGACTTCGTTGTTGGTTGACAGACAGTTGTTCTGAGTTCCAGATGTTCTTCAATCGTAGATATTCTGCTCTTGCTTTGCCGATCCGCGTCTTCACATCTGCATCAGATCCACCATGCTCATCAATGACGCTGCCCAGACATGTGAAGGGTTTAACATCTTCCAAAGCTTCTCCATCAAGTGAGATTCGATTGGTTCATGCTGTGTTGTATTGGAGAATCTTGCTTCTCCCTTTGTCTATGTTGAGACCTACTGCTGCTGAGGCTGCTGCTACACTGGTCGTGTTCTCCTTCATTTGTTGTTGCGTGTGTGATAGAAGAAGCAGATCATCTGCGAAATCTAGATCGTCCAGCTTCATCTTAGCTGTCGACTGTATCCCATGCTCTTCCCACCCAGATGTTGACGTTTTCATGGTCTGGTCGATCATCAGGAGAGTGATAAAGGGTGAGAGTGACAACCTTGCTTGACACCGGTCTTTTCTTCGAACGAGTCTTTGAACTGTCCTCCATAAACAATTTCGCGGTTTAATCCATCTGTCGACATCAGTACTATACATTATACTAACACTAAATTTAAGAACCTACTGATACTTTGATCATTAGAACTGTCTATAATCAATAGCTGACATGTTGACTTGATATGTACATCATGATCTTGGAACGATTTATACATCTGATCCAACTTTCAAGTGAAGATATCTTCAAAAAAGGAACATTTCCAACTACATATATATCAGATGGGTTTTTGTGGAGATTGTAGTAATTTCAATGGTTGAGATCATGAGTCAATTGAAGCTAGACCACCATGGAAAACCTGAAACCACTGGACGGCCGTTTCGTCCTATTGCGGGACTCCTCAGCAGTGCGCATCCACGACCACGCCCACCGTCCAGTGCTTCCAGGTATTCCATGGTGGTCTAGCTTTAACTGACTCATAATCTCAACCATTGAGATATATATACATATATAACAAATAATATAAATATTATATTATTACCATGACTAAGAGTTGCTGTACGAAAATTTACAAAAGTTGATTCACCACGTCCAACGGCTGTTTTAGCCCATATATATAATGAATAATTAGTATTCATTTTTAAACCTGATATACGTGTTGCACATTGTTCTGGATCTTCAATTGTTACAGAAGAGATCATTTGAGAAGTTTTCTTTGAAATTCTTTCAATTGTATCAGTTAAATTATCTAAAATTTAAGAAAGAACACAATGTTTCATTAAGAAATTTGAATAAAAAATTCTATGAAATACAGTACAATGGAAGATGGTCGGGCAATTTCGTGAATTGGTTGAAGTTATACATTAACACTGTCGAATGCCGGCCGGCTCAGTGGTCTGGAGGTTAAGCATTAGTGCGCGAGATCGGAGGTCCTCAGTTCGAATCCAAGAGCGGGGTCATGGATACGCACTGTTGAGGAGTCCTACAGTAGGACAAAACGGTCTTCCAGTGCTGCCAGGTCTTCGATGGTTGTCTAACATCAATCGGTTTATGACTTCAATCGAAAACCTAATAATCGCCATGATATATGGGCAAGAATGATAATGATTTGTTGTCTGCTTAGTCAGATATGTAGATAGTCTGACAGGTATCAGATGAGTTATATATTTCCTTATCCTTATAACTGTTATCGATTGTGTCGGGTTTTGGTGTGGAAATATAGTCACGTTCTAGTCAGGCTAATCACGCGTTCTTGGTCTGAGTTGTGTTAAAGTCCTGTAGAATAGACACTGGGAGGGAATCTACTGTAGATATTCGTCTGAGGTAAATTAACGTCCCATACGTGTAAACGTGGAAGCCCAACCGTTATAACACTCCATAACCCCATACTGAGAAATACAAGTGGATACAACAATTTAGAGGTTATAAGATTCATTCTACTTCATACTTATACGGAAGATATATTGACATTCAGTTGCGAGCTCCTTATCTCTAAGGATTCAGATTCTTAAAATTCTACGGAATACGGACAGAATCTAACTTTATTTTCGGCGGGATCGTGAGTGCGTACTGCTGAGGAGTCCTAAAATGGCACGAAACAACTGTTCAGTGTTTCCATGTTTTCCATGATGGTTTGGCTTCAATTCACTCATGATTTCAACTACAAAATTAATATAATTTATTGTTCCTAAACACTCTTATATCAACAAACTGAACCAGTGGTTAAACGTTCTTTCACGAGACCAAAACATCCTGGGTTCCGTTCGTATTAATGGAGTTCCGTACAAGTACTAAAACAGCTGTACAGTTCATTCAGCTTTTTCAACGGTTTTCTAGTTTTCATAGGTCCATGGTTTCAGTGAACTTGAGTAAATCATAGTACCAAATTTTACTAAGAATATTTCAAATTTGAATTGCTTGATTGTTGTAGTAGGAACTGACTCATTCAAATAACACTTCGAAGGTGAACTTAAAGATTAAACCTTCGGTCGAGTGTGCTGTCACATGGCTACACGTACACAGTCACTGTCAGGGAATTCCTACTCAATGACTGCTCATGGGGGGGTTGTTTACGAAATAGAAATGACGGAAAGTGACTGTCAAGCGCTTTAACCGTTTGGTAGATTTAGAGGATCTACCTAGGGGGGTTGGAAAACTCTCATTCCAACTCAATAGTGTATATGATCTTCCGAATCCTGAGGGAACAAGCGGTGTATGAACCTATTGTTGGTCACCGGCTACCATGGAACTTCATCTCCTTGTGTTGCTCAACTGCCTTATGGATTATACTTGTAAGTGAATGTCTCAGGCTGTGGATTCCTAAGAAAACTATCTCTTTGGTTTTGGGCACTCGGGAAGTATTCCATCCCTTACACAATTGAGTGACACAGTTTAGCGCATAGATACTTGGTACCCCCTTGTATCAATGTTTATGTGTAAACAAAATTGAATGAAAGGGGGGGGTGAGGGTGGGAGAAATGGGAAATCAGGCAACTAAAACAATTTAACATACTTAAGTATATTTCTAAATCATATGAAATTAAATTTCCATTTAAAATCATTGGCTTAATCCATGATACTTCAATATGATTAACACCAATAAATGTAATAGTTAATTCAGATACTTTCTCTGGTACACCTTCTTTTGTTTCTACAATGATTGCATCACTATAAAAGAAATGAAAATAGATTTACAATAAAATATTAGGAAGCTTCTTGTGATTAAGTGTAATTGTTTAATGGAAAACAGAGAGTGTATACACTGATGACATTGTGGTCGATTCTCAGCGATGTCACACAGAGTCATCAACTATTGGTTACGATAGTCATGCGGAACACAACCAAGTAGTCTGTATCTACTAATATGGCTAAGACTAGAAGTTAGTGATATTAAGGACTGATGCCACGTTTTGATTTGGCCGCCCTTAACTTTCTTACAACCAACCCCTACATTAGTCAGCATTGAGCGTCGCGCATAGATTGCGTCTAACCTCACTACTACTTACCCGGTGATCCCAACAGATACGAGCAATACTTCTAAGACATTTGTAGTCAAATACTATAAGCTTATGAGTATCTTCTACTCTTAACGGCCACGTTGGTCGACCATAAAGTAGAACAGAACAAACTGCAGCGCAGTATACTCGTCCCTTAATTGACAGACCGATATCTCGTTTTCTCTATAGGTGACGTATTTTGGCAAAAGCCAAACGAGCTTTTTTGAATCCGTGCAGACATTTCTTCAGACACCAACTCATTAGAGTTGATCAGACTTCCATGATAAGTGAAGCTGTCGACGTGTTCGACTACTCCACCCACTCTCCTTAGTTCAGGTGTTGATGTAGGCTAGTCCTGAAGTGGCAACTTAGGTTTAGAGGTGGAAACAACGTATTCCAAACATTCTAGCATTGTTGCCTAATGCTATCAAAAGACTCTGCATTTTATCAGCGCCTTCATCAAACAGCACTATGTTATCTGTGTAATCTAAGTCGATAAGTGGACCTCCTGGAAGGAGATCAATGCACGAGAATTCAGTCGACGAGAACGTTATTTCCATCAGTATTTGTATGACGAAGTTGAACAAACGTGTAGATAGTTGACAACCTTGATGGACACCACTTGAGGTTGCTAAATCAGATGACAGTTCTCCACAAGCTCTGAGTCAAATGGTGGTGTTCGAGTAATGTGCCTTCACAAGGTTTATGAACTTCTGAGGTACACCTTTCAATGACAGACACAGAATCTGTGAGTCTACAGAGTCGAATGCTAATTATTAGATCAAGGAAAACTATTATTATCGGACGACGATAAACGTGTCTCTGTTTTAGAATCTGATGAATAGTGAATATGTGGTTGATGCAGCCTCGAATAAGTGTGAAGCCAGCCTGGTTTTCTCGTGTTTGTAGCCCATGAGTCTTTGTTAAGCGTCCGAAAAATATTGAGGCTAGTATTTTAGATGCTATATTAGTTAAACTAGTCCCTCTGTGATTATCACAGGATGTTTTCCCCTTCTTATGTATTGGGAAAATCAATGATCACGACCAGTCAGATGACGTTACGTCCAACTCCCAGATTTTAGCTAAAATATTAGTCAACCTAATCGCTAAAACTGGACCATGTGCTCTTCCTCATTTCGGATTAGCTATGGCCTTTTAAAATTCAATGTACTATTCAATGTAGTGCTACACGATTCCATAGATAGATAAATAGATAGCTAGATAGATAGATAGATGTGTGGATAGATATATAGATACTACCAAATGCCCTGGTTCAACCGAGAGTGGAGACAGTCCGCTTTCCTTCTCAAAATGCTCTCACATGTCCACGCGTACATAGCCTCTGCCAAGGATGTCCTACTCACTGCCTTCTCGCAGCATTACTGTTGTTTACAAGATTGAGAGGATGGAAAGCGAATGTCCGGCGCTTTAACCAGGTTGGTGGACAGAAAGAGTCCACCTAGGTAATTTGGAAAACCCTCATTCAAATCCAGTGGTGCACATGGGCTCCAGTATATTGATGGAACAAATGGCGTATGAACCATATATTGGTCACCGGCAACCATGGAACTGCATCGCCTTACGTTGCTCGACTGCCTTGTGGATCAGACTTTTAGGTCAAAGGCTCCAGAAGTGGCCCCCTAAGAAGACCACCTGTTTCAGTTTAGGCACCTGTGCATTATCACAGCCCTTACACAAATCAAATGAGATTTGTTTGGCGCATATGTATCTGGTCCCCCCATGTAACAATATCTATGTGATCATATAAATAATGCTAGACCATCATAGAAAACCTAGAAGCACTTGATAACCGTTTCGTCCTAATATAGAGTTCCTCGTCAGTGTGCATCCATAATTCCACACCGCGAGATTCAAACCCAAGTCCCATCAATCTCGCATGTGAAACATTAAACCTTTAAACCATTGAGTCGGCCAACATTCAACCGTATTCATATTGATTTATAAATTACTTTAAATATTACCTTTCTGGTCCAGCATATTGTATATTAAGTATACGAACCCATATTTTTAATTTTGTTTTACCCGGTAATTCATTTAAATAAACTTTATAATAATCATTTTCATATTGAATACTTGAATTTTTCATTGTATGTAAATGTTCTAATGTAGATGACCTAGTTATTGGGATACTTTTAGTATTGATTACATTATTATTATTATTATGAATAATATCTCTATTCAATAGTTCATTATCTATCAATGTTATAGATGACATTCGACGTAGATTTGGAAATGACCAAGATGGAGGTTGTTCAAGAATATAATCCTTGAAATAGAAAGAAAAAGTAAAGAATTTATGACTAAACGTATAATGATTTTATGATAATTTCACTGATTGAAATCACGTGTCAGTTCAAGCTAGACCACCATGGAAAGCCTGGAACTACTGAACGGCCGTTCCGTCCTAGTGTGCGACTCCTCAGCGGTACGCATCAACGACCCCACACCCCGCGAGATTTGAACCCAGGACCAATCAGTCTCGCTTCAGACGCCTAACCATCTAGACCACTGAGCTGGCCGGCATCCAACGGTGTTAATGTCTAACTTCAACCAATCCATGAAGTTGCGCCACCATACACCATTGTCGTCAGTGAGTTGATATCTCACAACAGATCTGGTAACTGTCTATAAAAGACTAATTAGTGATTTTCATCATTATACAAGCTAATGAATTTCTGGACTCAGTAGTTAAGTCAATAATATGATAAGGTCTGAGTACTAGAGTGAATATCAACTCTGTGTTGCCAGTACATCTAGCTGACGAGTCCTAAATAGGATGAGATTGACATCATGTGTAATAACGGTGTTGCAGATCAAATTCTGCTAAAACATTTTTGGGTTATAGCAATTAATAAATTATCAGTACAGTTTTAACCGGATCGTTCAGTTTTATTGGGATCCTAGGTCAATAACCTTGAAGTGCTTGACTTCAGTTTCATCATAGTATAAAACAGATTACCAACTCGCTGTGAGGAAGATACCAATTGAAGATAATGCATGATAGATACTTAATGTCGTGTGTTGGTTAAAGTTAGACTTAGGAAGCACTGCATGAAGCAGGTCGATTTTCTATAGGTTAAGTGTTCATTCACGAAACCTAAGAGTCTGGTTTGATTCCCAGATTCAGAGTTGAAATTCTTAGTGCTAGAAAGTATCAGACTAGAGCAGAATGGTTGTACACTGCCTCCAAGTTTCTTATAGTTGCTTAAACATGTTCGATTCTCGATTCCAATATAAGTAATAAACGCTTATATATCAAGGTGTTCAATTCTTTCTGTACTCTACTAAACACCCTTAAAGAAAACGACACAGTTTGAATTATTCTTCACAATTCATCTAACTACAAAATGATATTGATGGGGTTTTGTTCTCTAAGCTGGATAGTTTATTCGTGGAGCTTTCATCATTCTTCTTAACCATTGATTGATAAATTGGATTGGAAATTATGCACAAATATAGGAACAAAAATCAAACCAATTAGAAGATACAACAAAAAACAAAGAAGTAAACAGTGACAGTTTAAGGCCAACAAGAACCAATCAACATCAAGCTGTGAACTATATGTGGAGAAATTCGAATACTTCACTTCTACCTGAAGTTTGTGCTGATGATGTTGTTTAGAAGAATAATGAAAGCTCCATGAATAAATCATCCCATTCAGAGAACAAAATTCTATCAAAATCATCTATCTGAGCTACAAATCTTCTCCACCATCACAAAATGATTTGAATATCAGGAGTCAGTTGAAGAAAAAACGATTGATGTTAGACCACCATTGAAAACCTGGAAACACTGGACGGCCGTTTTGTCCTATTGTGCGACTACGCTCGCGGGTCTGTGGTGAGATAATAACTCACTGAAGACAATGATGAATGTGTCACGCAATTTCGTGGTTTAGTTGAAGTTAGACATTAACACCATTGGATGCCGGCTGGGTCAGTGAGTTTAAGGGTTAAACGTTCGCGCACCAGATCGATAGGCCCTGGGCTTGAATCCCGCAAGCGAGATCATGAATGCGCACTGTTGAGGAGTTCCTTACTAGGAAAAAACGGTCGTTCAGTGTTTCCATGGTGTTTCAATGATGGTCTAACATCAATCGGCTCAAGATCTTCATCAATTACTTAATAATCTCCATAACCTTATACTGATAAAAATGAAAACGAATCAAAAAGTTTCTAACCTGAACTTTTTTATAAAATTCACATGAATCATTTGATAAATCAGCATTACACCATTCAATTCGAAATCCTTGAAATATACCATTGATTTTTAATAAGAAATTAGAATCTTTGATCATTTTCCAACTAAGTAATAAATGATTTGAACCAATATATAGAACTCTTAATTGAATTGGTATTAATTGTGGTATATCTTCACCTGAACAACCAGTAAATATTAATGGTTTAGTACCAGATGAACCTAAATAGTTTTCAGCTTGTAAAGTAACCTATAAAATACAATATAATACCCTTTCATAAATATGTATGAAGTAAATAGTATCATAGTTATAATTCAATGTTTACAATGTTAACAGTACTGAAATGAATTGATTAGTCTTTGAATGTTACCAATGTCATCAACGTTTATAGTGTTCACTTATTGTCTTACAATTGATTGATCATTGAATGGTGATCAATGTCATATGTGTCAAGTCCTTCTTAGCACAGACCGAATGCTATCGACCAAGATTCTATGTGGCCACTAGTCCAACCACCATCTTATCACAACATACTGCACGCAATATCGAGTCAATTAGACTAGTAGCCATATTGCAACTTGGTCGATAGCATTCGATCTGCACTAAGAAGTACTTGACATACATGACATTGATCACCACACAGTGATCAAATAATTGTGATTACATCTCAGTCCTATAGGAGGTCAGTCACGGCTCGGATAGCTCAGTGGTTGCGTGTCTGACTGTGAAGCTGGGTGACATGGGATCTGATCCGTCAGGGAGCACCAGTTCCCTCAAGATTACAGGTAGACCTTGCTGACGAGTGCCAAATAGCATGAAACACGGGTTCAGGGTTTCCTGTTGACTACCTCCAACCACCACTCACCACTTATTGGGTGTCCTACTCACGTTTATTCACGTATTCGGTGAATGTTGAACGTCAGAGTTTGATTTTCACCAAACATTTTACTTCAAGAGGTTTAGGTTATCTGTAATTGTCCATTATAAACATATCTAGTGCAGTATTCACTTGATTTTTTACTTGTATCTTCTGAAGTGAATATAACTACACTGCATTACACAAGCAAGTAGCTATCAGGACTCAGTAACTAAGTGGATAGCGCGATGGCGTTTGAAGTGAATGGTAGAAGGTTCGAGTCCCCTATTGAACATCAACTCATATGCAGGTACATCCAGCTGAGGAGTCTCAAATGCATAAATTAATAAATAATAACATAAAGCATATAAAATCAGGATGAATTCTATGTACTATTTTTGATTTAAAGATCATTGGCCAATGGACAACGGTGAGATTATAATTTATGGACGAATCAATTACGGATAAGATAACAGGTCGCAGATTCTGTCGCAAAATTCACTCATTCATTCGGATAAATAGAATTTTGGCAATAATAGCTTATGTCAGTTCGTGATGAAAACCCTAAATCTAATTTCTAACCTTAATCATCAACCGTAAATCGTAATTTGAATCCATGGCATAGGTTTATAACCCTTATTTGGTTCTGGTTATTAGGTGGACATTGTCAAAGTCAGTCTGACGTCGCTCAAAGGTCTTTCATAAATTAAAGTCTCAATCAGTCAGTTACAACGTAGGACAAGGCATCTATATGCATCGGTCCAAGTTGCCATACCTCACTAGTACAACAACATAAACAGTGAATTCATAGAAGTAGTTAATTCAATTGTAGTAATATATAAAAGAAAGATTTCATATAAGGATATAGTACAGGAAGAAAAAATTAGTTCGTAGGAAAAGAGATATACAGTGATTTTAGCCTCATATTTTAGAGGGAGACAAAGAGTGTATACATCTGGACTATTGTAATCGATTCTGAGCCATGCTATCTAGAGTCACTAACCATTGGTTACGATAGTCTCACCGGACAATCATTAAAATCTTAAGGAAAATCAATAATGGTTCATCTTAGTCAGATGTTTACTAGTGTTATTTTTTTTAAATTCATAACCTACCTAAGTATCTTATCTCATAACTGTCAAGGATCTTGGTAAGTATATTAATACTAAAACCTTAAAATCGATATCTACGAATCCATATCTTCAACTTCGATTCATTCTATACTCCTTCAACATAGAAATATTATGTTACTTTATCTCTTCCACTAGTTCAATAATCATATCGTATTGTGGATCGTGGGGTGTCTATTCTAATTTCTACCGATTGATCAACTTCAGATATCCCAGTTATATAAATAATATACCCTTGTGGGCCAGGGTAATTTTACATTGGTTTTCAGGAGAACCAGACACCATACGGACTTTCACGTGACAACCCAAACAGTACAGCTCAATCCCGTTTAGCAGGGAGACCAGACACCGTATAGGCTTTAACGCTGCAATCTGAATAGTACAGCTCAATCCTGTGGCGTAACCACATTGGTACCAAGCACCCTGTTGGACCATTCGCATATAGACATTCACATCACATGTATAGTTATTCTGATCAATGATCGCGTGAATCAATTATGCACAGCACAAATAGGCCAAATTTGACTTATTCCGCTTACATGACAGTCAAACTCGTTAATGTTAGCAATGGTGAAATGCTTTACAATGTCCCAGTGACGATGGCCCTCGGGAACACTGAAAAGCAACTACCAGTATGAATGAAATCGGTCAACCAGCAAACCAATTTTTGCATGAATAGCCAGGAAAACTTTCCAAATCAATGCCAAACCATCCACAATAACAATGGCGAACCTCCAGCCTCATATGAGACCTTCAGCTCTACATAGCCATATAACTTATACTGCATACAACACATATGTAGGGTAGTAAGCTTAATAACCCAGCCTGAAGCGTTATGGCTTAAATAATGCTTAAAACCCACTGTCTGATGCTGGAATATTATAACTGGACTACCAAGGTCATTTTTATGGCATTTGCAAAATTTTCATTTTTCCGACTTTTCAGACCTTGAGTTCGGGGTAGTATCCCTTCAGATATCCCAGTACGACCCCAGTACTGTTCCTCAATCTCCAATATATCAGAACACGAACCGTTAGATGAAAATTGTTTATGGGTTCAGGAGACGAAGAAGAAGAATATCCCAACATATCGGTCATCATACTATAGTATGATTTAACATTGTTCTTTTCAAACTCTTTCAATCTATTCAATTATTCATCAACTCTACGCTAAATTTAATTCTTACCTGATAAGTACGAAATACTTCTATATTCCATTTATCAAATTGATTTAGTTCATTCATATTTGATGATACTTTTGATGTGATTAATTCAGTTAATTCTATTCTATCTTTAGACCAATTTTTAATGATTGTATAATTGAATACATCTTTTGGTGGACCATGAATACAATCCATACAATGAATAGTTAAACGATATATTAAACCAGGACCATTATGTTGAATAGGATCCAAAGGCTGTGTTGAAAAGCGAAAGAACAAAAAGTTTTAAAGCAAAGATGGATAGTGGTTAACAGTGGAATCTAAGACTGACGTTTCGTCCTATTTGAGACTCGTCAGCTGGATGTATCTGCACCACACAGTTGATGTTAACTCTGGGATTCGAACTCAATACCGTTCGCTTTAAATGCTCTTGTGTTATACACTCAACTATTGAGTCATGAGAGCCGCCTGCTTGTGCAATGAGCTGAAGTTTTAAATTCACTTGATATTGTTTACTTGGATCTTTCCGTTGATGTTTAGAACGGTAGTTGATCAGTCTTTTATTGCCATATGTGCATACTGTGTGTTGCTGACAATTACTGGATAAGTGTATTGCCTCACACAAAAGAATATGCAAATACTTCCAATACTACAAAAAATGCATTCATTCCATCTTCAATAGGTATTCATATTACTATTATTACTGAAATCAATAGAATGTACGAAAGTCTTCATTTGACATCTCATTAATTCTATATTATATTACTCATTATCCCTCTCTCACATCACTTTTTTTCAGTATGGGATTATGGAGATTGTTGATTTTTGATTGAGATCATGAATTGATCAATGTTAAAACACCATTGAAAGCCTGGAAGTAATGGATGGCTGTTTCGTCCTAGTACAGGACTCTTCAGTAGTGCTTATTCATGATCCCACACCAAATGGATTAGGACTTAGGATCTTCGGTCTTACGCGCAAACTCCTAACCTCTAGATCACTGAGCTGGCATCCAACAGTGTTAATGTTTAACTTCAACCAATCCAAGAAACGGTGCGATTAGATACCTGTCTCTACCCGACACGGATTGAGCTTCACTGGTCACAGCCTCTCAATAGAACTCCGAGGATTATCTCTCAAAGTCCGTTACTAGTGATTACATCATACTTGTCATAATGGAGTTAAACAAGTTTTATCGATACCAATGGTGACAATCTATATATTTCTAGTTCCATTATAAACTTCATTTTGAGAAATGAATACACTTTTTATATATGATATGATAACTTGATAACAAACAAACTGATCTAAATCTGGTCACAATTTGATACGTGTCCAGCCAAAACAAGATGTAACTTGCTACTGAGTGTGAACTGACAGACATAGATTATGTATGATTTTACTCCTCTTGAATGTAGACTGCTTGAATTAGGTGTGATCTAAGGTATACTCTGTTCCGCTACTTTTGGTCTGGAATCATGAATCTGGTGTATGTATTTAAGGTATTGGTCAAATATTCAGTCTAGTGGTAGTACAGTCTTGGTCATCGATCGTGGAAGTATATATGAGTAGTATAACGTGGGAAACAGAAAAATTCCTACTTTCCCATTGCATTATTTCCTTTTTGTCTTTATTCTGTAACGTATATTGATTAATGTCAATAGTACTGTCATAGTGTGTGTTTGACCAGTTAATTATAATTACAACTAGATTATCACTGAGTAGTGACCAATTTCATGTTCCTTATATACTGATTGAATTGGATCGATTAAGTTTCACTATGGATACTGGTCTAAATTACTAGAAATTCAGAGCACTATACCGAAATCTTCATCATTGATGAACACGATGGATCTGATGCAGAAGCATATATATAATTGAAGAATATCTGGAACTCAAAACAACTGTCAACTAACATCAACGTCAGAATTTTCAATACAAATATCAAGACAGTTCTATTGTATGGGATGGAAACTTGGAGAACTATGAGAACCATCATCCAGAAGATACAAGTGTCTATTATTAGTTATATACGCAAAATACTTCGGATCCATTGACCAAACACTATCAACAACAATCTACTGTGAGAAAGAAAAAACCAGATTGTAGCGGAGGAAGAAATCAGGAAGAAGTGCTGGAAGTGAATAAGATACACATTGAAAAAATAATCCAACTGCGTTACAAGGAAGGCCCTCACACGGAATCGTCAACGCCAAAGGAGGAAAGGAATACCAAAGAACACATTACGCTGGGAAATGGAGACAGACATGAGAAGAATGAACATCAATGAGATAGAACTGGGAAGGAAGGCTCAGGACAGAGTGGGTTGGAGAATGCTGTTTGGTGGCCTATGCTCGATTGAGAGTAATAGAAGTAAGTAACATATGGAATTGTTAGGTCTTTGAAAATGGTCATCAGAAAAGTGAGAGAATCCAGTTCAAATTTTGTATAGTTTCTTGTTGAGTACTATCAACCAACTAACACCTCAGCATTATGTACAGGATGCTAAGTCGATTAAACAATTTCCCACATTGAAATCAGTCATTTGAACCTGATCAATGTTAAGGACTAAAAACAAAACAGGGAATTAGTCACTACTTAGTGATTTACAAACCTAAATACCTCAGTTCCATAAAAGATTAGCTTTGTTTTGAAACGCTTAGTAGCAACGTCCCAAACTAGGAAACTATGTGATGTAGGTTAGAATTGCAAATGGAATACCATATCACTCAAGATCACATGTACACCATGCCAACCGAATACCAACTTTCATAAAAACTTAGATGAAATTAGATTTCTTGTAGGCTACTTCCAACCATCTAAGAAATTATACTGATTTTAATCTATTTATAATTGTATGTTAAACATTTCTTAGTTTCTTTTAACTAATCATTCTACAAATGTAATGCAACTTGTAATCAAAGATAATACTGAGTTATTCAGTTAATAAGAAGATCATACATTGGCTCGCGCGCGAAACTTCTAGGTCCTAGGTTCGAATCAAGCGAGTGGCGATCGTGGATGCGTACTAGAATGAAACAGCCATCCAGTGCTTTCAAGTTTTCCATGATGGTCTAGCTTCAATTGATTGATGTTCTCAACCATTGAAATGGATAGTAAACAAACCCTTCTGAATCATGAAAATGTCATATTAACTAAACAAATTAACGAGTAAATTGATTCAGAAGCTTACTTAGATAACGTATTGATATATACCATGTATAAATATCATCACTGAAATCTAGGTACATAAAGTTGATGAATATTAATTGAAATGAAACATATATCTTAGATCCTTCTATTAAGTACCAAATAAGAATCTCAGTTTACTCCACTATCCAAAATAGAACCTAATTATTTCCTAATCAGTATGGGGTCGTATTTCTTCTGATTAGTGTTTTATGGTGAGTTAGTTTTCTACAGGATAGGGTCACTAACCCCATGCTCAACCCTCCTCCTTTAACCGGGTTTGGGGTCAGCAGTAACTCTAGAAGAGCTATAGGTGGAGCCTCTGCATTAGTAGGCCTCAAGATACACAAAGGAAAAAGCAAGACCCTCAAATACTACACGGAGAACACCAACCCACTCACATTTGATGGCGAAACTTTAGAAGATGTGGAATCCTTCACATAACTAGGAAGCATCATAGATGAACAAGGAGGATCAGAAAGAGATGTAAAGGCGAGGATTAGCAAAGCAAGGGCTGCATTCCTACAATTGAATAACATATCGAACTCGAAACAACTGTCTGCCAACCAGTACCAAAGTCAGAATCTTCGATACGAACGTCAAGGCAGTTCTACTCTACGGAGCTGAAACTTGAACAACTACTACAAACATCATCTAGATGGTACAAGTATTTAGAAATAGTTGTCTATACAAAATACTCAACATCCATTGGCCGGATACGATCAGCAAGAGCTTTCTGTGGTAGAGAACAAATCAGGAAAATTAGGAAAATCCGATGGAAATAGATGGAACATACATTACGGAAATCACCAAACTGCATCATGCAACAAGCGCTAACTTGGAATTGTGACAGAAAGCGGAAAAGAGGAATGCCAAAGAACACATAACATCGGGAAATAGAATCAGATATAAAAAAGATGAATAACAATTGAAAATAGCTGTAAACAATTGCCCATGACAGAGTTGGATAGTAGGTGTTTGTGAGCGGCCTATTATCCTCGAGGAGGAGTAACGGCGTAAGTAAGTAAGTAAGTAAGTAAGTAAGTAAGTGTTGAAGTAAGTAAGTAAGTAAGTAAGTAAGTAAGTAAGTAAGTAAGTAAGTAAGTAAGTAAGTAAGTAAGTAAGTAAGTAAGTATGGGGTTATGAATCATACAATCAATCAATGCTAGACCTTCATTAAAAACCTTAAAACCTTAAAGATGATTTCGTCCTAGAATAGAACGTTCTTCATCAGTATACATATCTACAATCTCACACTGAATGATCTTGATCTAATCCATACACCAAAATGATTACATCACATAGATTACCTTCCATTGTATAATTAAATTATTTGGTTTATTACCATATACTATTAAATAATCTGGATTAATGAATGTTGGCATTGGTGGTAATATACATAATTCATTAGATTCAATTGATAATTTTGGTATTATATCACTTGGTAATGATTTACCAATAGAATTTATTAATTCAATACGAAAATGATAAATAACATCATAATTTAATCGTAGAAATGCACGTCCTATATTCAATGGTAATTTAGGTAATTCAATGATACTACTATTAAGATTATTATTATTATTATCAGTAGTATGATTATAATGATAATGATGATGACGTAATGATTGATTTTTAGTTTTTAAATAATCAATAATTTCCATTCTGGTATAAGATCAATAATATTCCATTGATTTTTTATGATTGATTGATTAATGATTGATTGAGCGATAGATAATGTTGTTTGATTTAACCAATAAATATGATTATGATGATTATATTGATTATTATTGATTGATTGATTATATTGATTTAATAATGAATCATCATTTATAGGACGATAAAATCCTGTAATATAAGTAATAATTACTTTATTAATTGGTGTATAATATAGTTCATCAAATTCCCATGTTAACATAATATATGGTGATAATGGATTATGATAATTACATAATAATTTTATTGATTTTGGAGGTTTTGGACGACCTAAAAAGGAATAGATATAGAAAGAAACAAGTTCATCAAGTTATTAACAAATGGATTGAATTATGTTGCTAAGTGGAGACTACTTGGTTGGGATAGTAACCGAGATATGGCTCAAAATCGTTTACAATGGTGTAAGTGCATCCACTCTTTGTGTTCTCCCTAATTCTAATCTTCTGAATTCTTCGTGTCTTTTTCTTTCTCTTTACAGATTCATTTCACTGAATTATACTCATTGAATAACATCTCCAAACCCTAATCTTTCCGATTACTGGTTATACTTTTACTCTATCTACCACTAAGAGATTTGAATCGACAACTGCATCTCTGTGCTAATGTGATGTGGGAACTCGAACTGATGTACGTACGTACGAAGTTCTACGTTGTTACTGACTAACTGAAGTGGGTTTTTTACGGATACTATTTGTATTTACAATAGTCGAGATCATGAGACAATTGAAGTTAGATGAGGGTGTTGATTACGAAATCGAAAGGACAAAAAGCGAATGTCCGGTGCTTTAACCGTATTGATGGATATAGAGGATCCATCTAAGTTGGAAAACCAATGGTGTACATAAGTTATAGGATTTAGAGGGAATAAATGGCGTATGAACCAGTCGTTGGTCACCGGCTACCATGGGACTGCATCTCCACAAGTTGCTCCACTGCCTTAGACCTTTAGGACTAAGAAAACCATGTGTTTCGGTCAGGGCATCTGGGCAGCATCACAGCCCACACACAAATCATGTGACTTGTGTGGAGCATAGGTTTTCGGTACCCCTTTATACCTAGGTGACTCAAAAAATAAATAATCCTATGGTTAAATTCATGAGTCAATTGAAGCTAGACCACCATGTAAAACCTGGGAGCACTGCATGGCCATCTCGTCATAGTATGCGTGACTCCTCAGTGGTGCACGTCCAGGATCCTGTCCTGCGGGATTCGAACACAGGACCTGTCAGTTTCACGCGCGAACGTTCAACCTCTAGACCACTAAGCCGACTGGCATTCAACGATGTTAACGTCTAACTTCAGCTTATCCACGAAATTGAGGGACAAACCCACCATTGTCTCGTGACAAACCGATGGTTCTAGACTCGATTCCCCTTGGTGGAAATTCGTAGCTGGCATTATTCAAAAATTCCATAATAGGACGAAACAGCCATTTAATGTTTCCAGGTTTTCAATGGTGATCTAACTTACATTCAATTCAGAACTTCAATACTTCACTGTTAATACTTTTAAAATCTCAGAAAGAAAAAAATAATGCAAAATATATTTGATTACCTTGAACTATAAGATGAATGGAAGAATTCACACTGTCCAATTTTGTACTAGCAATACATGTATAGATTCCAGTATCACTTGGTATCAAGTTAAAAATCATTAGACTTTCATTATTTGATGAAGTGACATTAAGACGATCACTATGTTCAAAAGCATTTTGAAGAGTTAAATTATCTCTGAAAGTCAGATACAATAAACGATGATGAAATGATTATTCTGAATTATGAGCAATCATGGGCTAGTATTAGTACTATTTGAAATTAGATTTAAGAAACATCTATATGCATCGGTCTAAGTTGCCATACCACATTAGCACAACAAAATGAACACCAAATTCATAGAAGGAGTTACTTCAATGATACTAATGTATTAAAGAAAGATTGTGCTAGCCAATGAAATTCTATGTACACAAGTTTTATCTTATTTCGAACACATAAGAACTCATTTATCATTCAGTCCTGAATAACAAAACATAAATCATTACAAGATACTTCAATTATAACGAATGTAATCTAATCAATAAAGATGAATTATATATAATATAATATACCCTTGTGGGCCAGGGTAATCTTACATTGGTTTTCAGGAGAATCAGACACCATCCAGACTTTCACGTAAAAACCCAAACAGTACAGCTCAATCCCGTTTAGCAGAGGCACCAGACACCGTACAGGCTTTAACGCTACAATCTGAATAGTACAGCTCAATCCTGTGGCGCAACCACACAGGTACCAAGCACCCTGGTGGACCAAATAAAGATGAATAGAAAAGATCTAATATTATTCAATCATAATTGTTGTGTTGGCTTCCGAGAATTACAAAGGAGCCTATAGAGGCCTTAAAAGAATCGAAGAGTTTCATCTAATCAGAATGTAATGGAGCTTTCTAGAATATCAACATGACATTCTATTAATTGGTCAATAGCATTAAGATACCTTTTTGTGGATTGGTTGAATTCTAATGTTGATTTAACAAACGTTAATATCTATAACTACTCAATAAGCACTATTTTTAGTCTTCTTTTATCTTAATATCAGATGGGTTTTGTGGAGATTATAGTAATTTCAATGGTTAAGATCATGAGTCAGTTGAAGCTAGACCACCATGGAAAACCTGGAAGCGCACTGGACGACCGTTTCGTCCTACTGTGGGACCCCTCAGCAGTGCTCATCCACGACCCCGCCCCCCGCGAGATTCAAACCCAAGACCTACTGGTTTCACGTGAGCACTTAACCAGTAAACCACCATTTATGAATTAGAAAAGTTTTAGCGTTCAAGTGTTTAAGTCATACAAGGTATATTAGGCATTTAAGCTTCTAGATATAACAATAATAATCTTCCATTTAAATGTATAGAACTTACTTTTTCCATATGATTGTCAATTGACTTTCATGTATTGGATCCGTTTCAACTTTACAGGTTAAATGAATTTTAGATCCTTCTATAAGATACTTCATATTTATTCTCTTATTATTATAAGTATTATTATAAGTAGTATTTGTATTGATAGTTTTTTCAATTAATGGACCAGATATAATACGGGTCCGTTTTCTAATGAATAATTTCCCTTTTGATTGAGATATACCAAATATATTTGATGCTTTACATATATATGTACCACTATGTGATAATTTAGCATGCTATATTGTTAAAATAAGAAAAGAAGTATTAGTGTAGAATTGTGGAGATTGAGATCATGAACTGATTGATATTAGATCAGTATTGGAAACATGAACTTATGACCTGAGTTTGAATTACGTGGCAGGATCATGAAGTGCAATGCTAAGAAGGAGTAGTAAAATAAGACGAAATGGTTGTCCAATGCTTCGAGCTTTTTTGATGGTTGTCTAACATCAAACAATTCATAATCTCAATCAAGAAGAGAAGTATTTGCATTCATGAAATTTAAATTAAAATATATCTGTATTATGTAATACAAGTTTGATGTTAAGTAGTTGATGTGAATAGGACATATATTAAGGAAATCATCACACGTAATCATGAGGCAAGAGCTAACATGGAATCTTGGATTGAAGCGGAAGAGAGAACGGCCAAAGAACGCGCTTTATCGGGAATTGGAAGTAGACATGAAAAGGATGAATAGCAATGGGAAATAACTTGAAAGAATTGTTCAGAACAGAAATGGATAGAGAATGGCGATAGTCGGCTTATGCTCCTTCACGAGGGTTAACAGGCATCAGTAAATAAGTATATTTGGGACTGTAATTAAACAGTCTATATCGATATAAGTTAAATCTTGAGCAAATGATCTCATGGCATCTCTACGGATTTAATTATGGATAAATAAAAGTGTCTTCTGTTATAGTTAGGCCAGGGTGCTCGGTACCTGCGTGGTTGTGCCACAGAATTGAGCTGTACTACTAAGATTGTAGCGTTAAAGCTTATATAGTGTCTGGTTCTTCTGTTAGCACGATTGAGCTGTACTGCTTGAGTTATAAAGTTTAAACCTGTTTATTGTCTGGCTTTCTTGCAAGTTGGATTGAGCTGTACCGTTTGAGTTGTCACGTGAAAGTTTGGATGGTGTCCGGTTCTCCTGAAATCCAATGTAAAATTACCCTAACCCACAAGAGTATACGTACTGGTGAGAGGTCCCTTACTGAGATGAAACAACATATAAACGCTTGTTGTCTAACTTAGATCAGTTCGTGATTATAACATGATGTTATTAGTTCTCCATTTGTTCTTTACACAGCTATTGTTAAATTTGACTATTCATTTAAAGTATTGTTTTCTTATGAGATATTGATGAAGTATGTCAGCGGTTGAGATACACATTCCCCAACTGAGAAGCTCTAGACGATTATTCTATGCTAGTATCAGACTCCTTAGTAATGTGCGTACGCGATCAAACCATTAGGAATCGGACCTAACACATGTGGTTTCGCATGCGAACTCTTGATCTCTAGAGCACTGATGCAGTCTCTATTGATAGAAATGCCTAATTTCAATCAATTCACGATATTACAGTAGAATCATTTATAAAATATAGTGAATAACTCTCAAAAATGACCTGACTGAACTCTAATGATTATGACCTTTCACTAGAATTTTAAGATTTGCATAGTTTAGAACCTAGCATACATGGGCATCGACTCAAATTCCCACAATTCCTAAGGAAAGCGGTTGTGTTAGTATACATAGAAGTGATTAGATTTATATAGCAAAAAGTATAGACAGATTTTAACTCTAAAGATCTAACCTAAGACAAAGATTGAACACAACTACCCAATTACAAACGATTCTGACTAATATCATCCAACATTTCCAATCATTGGATACCATAATCAATAAGGGATCTGTACAAGCATGACATTGGTCACCACCCAGTGATCAATCAATTGTGATTACAACTCAGTCCTACAGGAGGTTAGTCACGGCTCGGATAGCTCAGTGGTAACGTCTCTGACTGTGAAGCTGGGTGACACGAGATCGAATCCGCCAGGGAGCACCAGTTCCCTGAAGATTACAGGTACATCTTGCTGACGAGTGCCAAGTAGCACGAAACCCGGGTCCAGGGTTTCCTGTTGACTACCTCCAACTACCATCTAAATCTCAATACATAGTGCCCGCAGTGTCGAGTCACCTATACTGGTGGTCACATTGCAACATGATCGATAGCATTTGATCTGCACTAATAAGGACTAGACAAGCATGATAGTGATCACCACCCAGTGATCAATCAATTGTGATCTGTACATATCTATATGACTTAATCCAATGATTGTATAGACTAATACCACATTATCATTTATCCTTCAAGATTACTCATATTACCCATCAATCTTATCAATGAACTTACAAAAATATGAAGATTACCATTCGTTTGTATGATGTAATCATCTTTCATAATATGATCAATTGTATTTAATTGTTTATTATTATGATACCAATGAATTATTGCATGAGGTGAACCAAATGTTTCACATGGTAATATCAATTGTTGACCTTCAATCATATATTGTATACCATGGATCACATTAATAAATGCTGGTGGTTGATTCCATATATGAATATATGCATTGATTATATTAATACCATGGATATTATGAAGAATACATTGGTAAACTGCTGAATCATGAACAGTTAAATTGTATAAATATAAAGCCTTGAATTAAAACAAACAAAAAACAAAAATAGAAATTATTTGATAATAAATTGGTAAATTCAATAGCTGGACCACCATGGAAAACCTGGAAGCATTGGACGGTTGTTTCATCCTAGTATAGGATGCCTCAGCAGTGCGTATCCATGATCCTGGCCCCACCTCGCCAGCTTCGAACCCAGGACTTATCGGTCTCCATAAAACCCCTTCTGATCATAAATTAGTAGTTAAAGATTTACAATTGATTGGTTAGTGGATGGTGATCAATGTTATGTATGTCAGATCTTTCTTAATATAGGTCTAATGCTATCGAACAAGTTATAATGTGATCACTAGTTTAGGTGACTCGATAATGCATGTATTGTGTTGAGATAACATTCTGATTAGAATTAGTCGAAAGGAAAACCTGGACATAGGTTTCATGCTATTTAGCACTCATCAGCAAGGTATAATTGTAATCTTGAGACAACTGATACTCCGGATAATCCAGTAGTAACATGTCTGAATATGGAGTAGAACTTTATTTATTTCAACATATAAACATTGGGACAAAGAGGCATCAAATAGATATACGCCACATAAATCATTCGATTTGTATGAGAGCTGGGATACTAACCGGGTGCCCAAACAGAAAAAAGTGATTTTCCTAGGAGGCCACACCCCTAGAATTCAACCTAAAGGTCTGATCCATAAGACAGTGTAGCGAAGTCAGGAGATGCAATCTCATGGTAGCCGGTGAATAACAATAGGTTCATACGTCGTTTCTTCCCTTAGGATATTGAAGCCCATGTGCACCATTGGTTTGGAATCAGAGTTTTCCAACTTACCTAGGTGGACTCTCCGTGTCCATCAACATGGTTAAAGCGTCGGACAGTCGCTTTTCTCCCTCTCAATTTCATAAACAACACCTCAGTGATGAGAAGGCAGTGAATAGGTCTTTCCTGGCAGTGAGTGTATGCACGTGTCCATGTGAGAATATTTCGAGAGAGAGAGAGAGAGGGACAGCGGACTGTCCCCAACCTCGACTGTACCAGGGCATTTAGGGCATTATGTTTATTCATAGTCATGAATCTGACAATCTTTCAACAGTCAGATCAGTAATACTGAAACTGGATAACTTTTTAATCACATTTACTGTAAACAATAGAAGATTAGTGATTACTAACTATAAATTATTATCTCGCTATATATACAACATATTTTTATTGAAATATTGTGGATGCGAACTGCTGAAGAGTCCCATACTAGGACGAAACGGTCATCCAGAGCTTCCAGGTTTTTCATCATAGTCTAGCTTCAATTGACTCATGAATTCAACTATTAAGATATCTATCATTATCTTAAATAAACTTCAAACTAGAAACATAATCATCTAATTATCAGATTGACATTGGAAAGTATTCATTTCATAATGAAGATAAGTCAGTTTTCTTTATATTAATGTTAGGATCGATTCAGTAATGTATCATTATCTCATTTGTCACTTTTTTGTTGGATATAACAATCACTATTATTATTGTCTGAATGAGGGAGGTAATACCTAACTCACACATCTTCGTCGTGCCTCCTGGATAGTGGGACGTAGTCCCATGAATTAACGCGAGTGGTAAACTGGATGGTAGAGATAGGACTAATCACCCACTCGACCAACACCCATAAATGCTAATGTGTGTTACAAAGAGAAAATGGCACAACTTTAACTGCAAAAACATCTATTTCGCTCCGGTAGTTGTGCCATGCTTCGATGTAACCGATTTTCTAGAAAGGCCCACTAGGCTTCATCAAGTTGATTTTAGCTAGAAGTGGGGGAGGAGGGGCAATGAAATCTTCGTATCAATCACCTAATCTACCTTTTATGATAATAATATGTTTGTTAGTTTTCGTTTGTGCAACTATACAAACTAAACAAACTACACATGGATTGTTAATCATTCGTATATATTGAATTAACGAAAAGCGAATGTCCGGTGCTTTAACCGGGTTGGTTGATATGGATGGTTCCCTTTAAAAAAAGTTAGAAAACCCTAATTCAATGGTGCACATAGGCTACAGGATCCAGAGGGAACAATTGGTGTATGAACCTATTGTTGATCACCGGTTATCATGGGACTATATCTCACGACGTTGTTCCACTGCCTTATGAATCAGATCTTTAGGTCAAAGTCTCGTGGTGTAGCCCTTTAATGAAACTACCTGTTTCCGTATTAGGTAACCGGATGGTATTTCAACCTTTACACGAATCGAATGATGCAGTTTGATGCCATCTTGTAACAATATTTATGTGTTCAAATAAAATAAATTTTATGTATAACAATGAAGTTAAGATTAATGACTTTTCATTGTTCAATTAAGCAATAAACAAACAAACAAGAAACAAAATGTTACATTAGAATTTCTCATTTGTCTTTGCTTAACTCATCTTGTTATCATCATCATCATCAATACCAATATTAAATGCCAAATTTCGGTGAAACTATAATTTATGGACAACCTTGGAACGTCCAACTACTTACTATAGTTATTAGATTAATGTAAAAAATTAGAATTATGATTTATACAGTTGATGATTAAGGTTAGAAATGAGATTTAGGATTTTCATTACATAATAGCATCAAACGATATTGGCAAAAACACTCTTTAACCAAATGGATGAATAAATTTTGCGCCAAAATTCAAAACTTGATATCTGAAATCTGATTGGTTCGTTCATGAATTATAGTCACATTTCAGTTATATATTTAACTATATTGTTATAGAACTGGTGATGAACTGTTGATGAATATGGTGGATCTGATGCGGATGTGAAATCGCCGATCGGTAAAGCAAGAGCAGTATATTTACAATTAAAAAACATTTGGAACTTAAAACAACGGTCTGTCAACCAACGCCAAAGTCAGGATTTTCAATACAAATGTCAAGACAGTTCTACTGTATGGGGTTGAAACTTGGAGAACTACAAAAGCTATCATCCAGGACAGACAAGTGTTTATTAACAGTTGTCTACGTAAAATACTTCAGATCCATTGGCCGGACACTATTAGCAACAACCTATATGGGAGAGAACAAACCAGATTATAGCAGGAGAAGAAATCAAGAAGAAGTGCTGGAAGTGGATAGGACACACATTCAGGAAAGCACCGAGCTGCGTCACAAGACAATCCCTCACATTGAATCCTAGAGGCCAAAGAAGGAGAGGAATACCAAAGAACACATTACTCCGGGAAATGGAGATAGACATGAGAAAAGTGAACAAGAATTGGCTGGAACTAGAAAGGAAGGCCCAGGACAGAGTGGGTTTGAGAATGCTGTTTGGCGGCCTATGGTGCATTAGAATTAACAGGCGTAATTAAGTAATATTGTTATAGAAGAATAGATGACAGAAATTGACTTCATTCTAGTGTATATTATTGTTGTAAGTAATTTTAATCTAACAATTTAAGGGAAAACAGAGAGTGTATACACCTAGGACATTATGATCGATTCTGAGCCATGTTACACAAAGTATGTAATCATTGGTGTTACGATAGTCATGCGGACCCCAACTAAGTAGTCTGTATCTATCAACATGGCTCAGCTTAGAAGTTAGTGACTTCAATGACTGACTCAACGTTTTGGCTTAGACGCCCCCTAACTTGTTATATGTATGAATAGGGGTCATTTATTCATAAATTAGCTTAGAATATTAAATTCTTGTGAATATTTCTTCAAACTAATAATAATAGCGTACTGATTAATGTTTATGAGTAGTATATCGATTTATATACTCTAAAAGCAGAGAGAGAAAGTATATTTGAGAAAGCAAATATCCATTTATTGATTTTAATGATTTAAGTAATATTGACTGATCCTTTTGATAATAATTGAAAAGTGGACTGGTTGACGTTCCCTGTAGTTTCCTACAGTTGAATCAGGTTCTGTAAGACTAAAAAAATGGAACAACAACGTATAAATCAGGATCATACACACGTATGAACTCCACGACAGTTTGACACGTTTTTAGTGTCTAACACTAGAATGTAGAACATGAGTTTTGTTTTGTTTGGTACTCATCAGTTGAATGATCTCCATCAAAGAGTTGATATTCACACGTGGATATAACCATTGACAGGGAAGTCCTACTCACTGCCTTCTCGTGGCATTACTATTGTTTACGAAATTGAAAGGATGAAAAGCGAATGTTCAATGCTTTGACCGGGTTGGTGACACGGAGAGTTCACCTAAGGGAGTTGGAAAACCCTCATTCAAGATCAGTGGTGCACGTGGGCTCCAGGATCCTGAAGGAAAATTGGCGTATGGACCGATCGATGGTCAACGGCTACCATGGGACTACATCTCCTTACGTTGCTCTATTGCCTTGTGGATTGGACCTTCATATCGAAGGTTCGGAGTGTGGCCTGCTAAGTAAACCACCCGGGCAGTATCACAGTACACACACAAATCAAGTAAGTCCTGTGACTCATATATGATCGGTACCCTTTGTACCAATATTTATGTGTTCAAATAAATAAACTGGAGTACCTCTGGGGGCTACTGACGGTCTAAAGCCCGGTTAAAGAAGAAGGTTTGGACAAGGGGTTAGCGATCCCATCCCGTAGAAAACTAACTCGCTAAAAAGACGCTAACCAGAAAAAATTATTTAAACACTAACCAGATATATGTGACTGAAGTGAGTATCTATCGTCTTAAACACTGATACGATATCCACTAGGCTATTAAGTTCAGATAACTATCAAATAATTAAATAGTTAGGATGTTCATTCGAAAATACTAAGCACAAACCAAATCAAAGACAACATTGAGTTACTCACTCTCCATAGATACTGTCATGTTATGAAGCCTAAACTATCAAGACTTCTTGATGGTTACCTCATAGCTACCTAATAATATACAATAGACTTTAGTAGAAATCATAGACACTAATTCAATTCATTAAAACACTTACATTATTTCGACCAATTTTACGTAAACCATTTAAATATTTCTCAATCGGTTCACCATTCATTAACCAATTTAATGTTGCTAATGGTTTTGTAATTTCTTCATTGATACTACAATGTAGTACAATACTACTGTTCTCTGGTAAAATAGTATTTTTAGGATATTCAGCAAAATGGGGTTTACCTGGGATAACAAAAACAGACAAAATGTATATTATACACATAAAACTGACAAGTTCACAGGTTAATTATAAAAAAAAACATAAAAAGGTGTTATTTTACTTGTATCTTTCCAATTGTTGTTTAGGACTGTAATTGATCAGTCTCTTGTTGGAATATGTACATCTTGTGTGGATTGTTTCGATGGATAGTGGCTATGACTTTGCCCGACTGTATAAGCAGGTGGCTATCAAAACTCAGTACCTAAGTGGATAACGCGATGGTGTTCGGAGCGAATGGTACTGGGTTCGAGTCACGGAGTGAACATATACTAATCTGGGATGCAGGTACATTCAGCTGACGAGTCCCGAATAGGACGAAACGCGCGTCAAACTGGATTACACTGCTAGCCACTATCTATCTTTGCTTAAAAAAGCTTGTGAATTAAGGCAATATTGAGGTATAAGCACAGTATGTACATATGCCAATAACAGACTGATCAATTGCAGTCTTAAACCTCAATGGGAAGATACAAGCCAAACAATGCCAAGCGAATTTAAACTTCACCCGATTGCACAAGCAGGTAGCTATCCAAACTCAGTAGCTAAATGTATACCGTGTTCGAGTCCCGGAGTGAACATCAACAAATCTGGGATGCAGAAACATCCAGCTGACGAGTCCTAAATAGGACGAAATGTGCGTCAGACTGGATTCCACTGCTAACCACTACCCATCTTTTCCCTTAATTATATATAGGTCTTTGATGTTCTGTTCCTAAAATATTTAGTTCCAGAATATTCATTTTGTTTTAATTGGATCTATGCCATATCAAACTTATAGTCGTTCATTTGAACTTCTCAATAAATTCACTTCCATGATGACGTTTTATTCCCATGTTACTATTTTAACTATGCGATATTATAGATTGCAAATAGTAGGTGATTAGAACTTAAGTACTTTAGAATGTACAGTTATGTATTATTGTTTAATAGATCCAAAGTATTCCTTGAAAACAAAACCGAAAGAGAGACGTTGAAAACATTACGAAAGATTTTTTTCCCGGGTAGCATTGAATAGATGTTCCTGTGAAACAACAAAAAATTAAAGAGTCATGTATCACAATTCTGATTGGGTGATTACCTATCTTTCTGTCGAGTAGTGTGCTATTGATTTTGACAGATGCCAATAGCATGTATAATCAGTCGAAGTGAAATGTCTGGCGGCAGAATGTTACGAAGATCGAAGAGAAAAGAACGAGAACAAGAACAAAGAATAATTGATGTGGAAATGAAAGAACAATGAAGTGTAAGATGACTCATTGACATTTGAATATGAATTATTCACCATATGGCTCTGTCATTTTGTATTCAAATACATTCAGTTGTCCCAGCTTATGTTCTCGTTTATTATATTGCTATTATGTTTCGTAGGGTTCCAGAACCTTTCAGAAGCCTAGAGGCCATCTGACATGCTATAAGTACCTTCAATTTTCTGTACATCAACTAACTTTGGAATAAAGCGTTCTTTCCATATTTCACTCCTACTCTTTTGTATTCCAGTTGTTCTATAGACTTAGTTTGGTGTTATTAGAAGAGCTTAGAATTAAAATGAAGCAATAAACTTACTTTCAACAGTTACATTGAATATAACATGTGGATCATATGTTGAGATCATATAATCCATATTAATTGTACTACATCGATAACTACCATGATTAATCATTTGAACTGTTGGAATGTATAATTCCATTCCATGATTTTTTAATTTAATTCCATACTTTTCTGGAAGCTATATAATCAATGGAAACGATATAAGAATATTATATGATGATTAGTCATATTATAAGTATATATATATAAATATAGTATAGAGGTTCATGAAGCCCACAAATGCCCTGGTACGACCGAGGGGTGGATAGAGTCAGCTTTCCTTCTTTTGAAATCTTCTCAGGTGGACATGTATATGCAGCCAATGACAGGGAAATTCAACTCATTGCTTTCTCGCGGCCGGAATGTTGTCTACGAAATTGAGAGGACGAAAAGCGAATGTTCGGTGCTTTAATCGACTTAGTGGATGTGGAGGATCTATTTAGGTGAGTTGGAAAACCGTGATTCAGTGGTGAACATGAGCTCTAGGATCCATAGGGAATAAATGGTGTATGAATCAACTATTAGTGACCGGCTATCATGAACCTGTATCTCCTTACGTTACTCCACTGCCTTGTGGATTAGACCTTTAGGTCGAAGACTCTGGGTGTAGCCCTATAAGAAAAACCAACTACTTCTGTTTAGGCATCGGGGTAGTCTCATAGCTCATACTCAAATCAAGTGATTTCTGTGGCGCATGTTATTGGTGTCCCATTGTACCAATATTTATGTGTTCAAATAAATAAAATAGTTTAGTGAATTGACTAATCTCACTAAGGCCATCACTGTAAACTAGGAAGTGTTGGATAGTTGTATCGTCCTAGTGTGTAAAATTAGTAGTATACATCCATGACTCTGGCGAAAATTGAAAGTAGGACTTTCAGTCTTGCACTAAGTAAATGCCTTTGAGACCACTGAGTCAGCATGTGATATCTAACTACAATCATTCCAAGATACATCGTGGCTTCCTTCCATTACTTGAGATAGATAACTTTATCAGATAGATAGATATTTCACAGATTGAAATCATGGGTCTGTTGAAGCTAAATCACCATGGCAAACAGAAGCACTGGACGGCCATTTCGTCCCAGTATGGGACTCCTCAGCAGTGCGCATCCACGATCCTGCACCCCGCGATAGATAGATAGATAGATAGATGTGTGGATAGATAGATAGATAGATAGATGTGTGGATAGATAGATGTGTGGATAGATAGATGTGTGGATAGTGTATAATACAAACTTTCCCCTCATAGGAAGAGCATTAAGAAACTATCAACTAAGAGAAGAAGAAAAAACCAAATTGATTCCACCAAAAAAAAAAGAAAAAAGTCTGAAACTATCTTGGAAATACAAGATTTTTGTTTGTTTGTTTTAATCATTCAAATGATGTAATCAACAGAAATACCACTTATGTAATACTTAATTTAATGCTTTTATGATTTATTTGTACTATGGAATTATTAAATAAACGATAATGAAAAATGAAATAAATCATTCATTGATTTTTTTCTTGTTACTATGTCGTTGTCATTATGTTAATAGTTTATAATTTGATGTAAGAATTTTTTCACCCTCACCCCCCCCCTACAGCCATAGAGGACAGAACTAAGTACATTTAGTCCTATGTGCAAATATAATCTCTAGATCATGAAATGTGAAAATTCTACAGTTTTATATGAATCCATTTATGAGATAGAGTAGAGGAGTTAGGCATATCGGCTGATTTATTAATCTTGAGAGTCTTATCAGTCTTGATGCACTGGTGTGTCTGAAGAAATCTCTTTACTAATTCATAAAGCTCAACTGACTTTTGCTGGTTTGATTCACTTATGGCATAGGCAAGATGTTAGTCTGTCAAAAAAAGGATAAGTTTATTGTACGAAAAATGATCACTAAAAAATAGAGGATGTCCATAAGTAATTAGCATTCGATCATGGGTTTGTTCAGAGGATTGTTCGTGTATTTTGGTACCAGTGAATAAGCAATACCTGAGTTAGAAATAAGCTACTACGTAAAGATGAGGTAGTACATTTTCGTCAAATGAGTTGATTTGAACATGTATTACTTATGCCAAACAACCGTCTACATCGATAGGTCATGTTATCTGATGTAGGAGCAGGTTTACAGTTAAGAGTGGCCAAATCAGAAACTATCACCAGTTATTGAAGCGATCGACAGTTGATAGGTTTGGACTATCCGGTTGTGGTCCACGTGATTATCACAACCAAAGTTTAGGGATTTTGAATGAGGTGGCTCAAAATCGTTCACAATGGCATATGTGCATCTATCCTTTGTCTTTCCAGTGGTCTCAGCTTCTGAATTCTTTACAATGTTTTTGTTATTTCACTAATTTATAGATTCTTTTCTTGAATCGTATCTTTGATGGCTAGTATACACTATTATCACTAATACCGTCATTACCTTTACTACAATGGGATTCGCTCGCTATGTTATTAAGGTATCGAAACTTGAACTTATATACACACGTATCAGGTGATATTTTTCCACTGACGGACTGATAAATTCCTCTATATTTAAAATAATCCAGTGCTCACTAATGATCAGCTACAAGATGCACATCCAGGATTTCTGGTAAGAATTCTTAATCTGTGGGGCACAACCGTTTCACACTTGAGATCGTTATCCACTACAAGTAATGGATAAGGGTTGCTCAGTATCGCGAATCAATTGAAATTAGGCATGTACATCATTAGATGACGGCTCAGTAGTCTAGAGACTAAGCATTCTCGCACGATACCGAACGTCGCACTAAATGAACGGGAAAATACTAGACATTGGATATATATTGAACATTAAGAAGTAGATGCGTTACTGATTCTCAGATATGTATCCGATCCTATCAAACATTAGATAAAATCATTGTAAGCAGAGATCGATTATGGCTAGCACTGTAATCAAGGACACACTTTTTGTCCTGTTTGAGACTCGTCAGATGAATGTACCTGTAACACAGAGTTGGTATTCACTTCAAGATTTAAATCCAGTAACGTTGGCTTCAAACACCACAGTTTTATCTACTTGACTAGTGAGTCTTGAATCGTTAGCGAAAAGATTCAAACAACCAATACAACTGAATTAAATACAATTTCATTGTTATGAAAAAAACGACTTGAAGAAAGTATAAGTGTTTAGATAGAAATGTGACATATCAACACTAGAATTCGGGCATAAACATTTGGCAAATTCCAAATAGGATGAGATATTCATCTTGGAATCCATGGCTAGCAGAATATTAAGGACATTAACACTATTAGATGCCAACACAGTGGTCTAGAGGTTAAGCGTCAGCACGCGAAACTGATAAATCCTGGGTTCGAATCTCGCGAAGCAGGATTGTAGTTGCCCACTGCTGAGGAATCCCAAACTAAAACGAAACAACCGTCTAGTTCATCCAGATTTTTAATAGTTCTCTATAACCCAGATCGACTGATGAATTCAATTATTAAACTAGTGGAGTTCAACCGGGTCATTTGTGAGATAGTAACTCATTGATAACAATGGTGGATGTGTCGCTCAATTTCGTGGATAGTTGAAGTTAGACATTAACATCATTGGATGCCGAGCGACTCCATGGTCTAAAGGTGAAGTATTCGCACGAGAGACTAATAGGTCGTGGTTTCGAATCCCGCGAGACGAGGTGGCAGGTACGCATACCTGAAGAGTCCCACAATACGATGAAACGGCTATCCAGTACTTCCAAGTTTTCCATGGTGGTGTTCTAACTTCAATGAACTTATGATCTCTTAACTATTGAAATTATTAAATTATAATCACAAATAAAAATAAAACATAATTAACAAATCAATGATTATTATTGCCCCCAAATGCCCTGGTATGGTCGAGAGTGGGGAGAGTCCGCTCTCCCTCTCGAAATGCTTTCACACGGCCACGCGTATACAGCCTCTGCTAGGGAAGTCCTACCCACTGCCTTCTCGCGAAATAACTGTTGTTTACGAAAATGAGAGGACGAAAAGCGAATGTCCGGCGATTTAACCGGATTCCAAACCAATGGTGCACATGGGCTCCACTATCCTGAGGGAACAAATGGCGTACGAACCAATCGTTAGTCACCGGCTCCCATTGGACTGCATCTCCTCACGATGCTCAACTGCCTTGTGGATCAGACCTTCAGGTAGAAGGCTAGGGGAGTGGCCCCCTAAGAAAACCACCTGATTCGGTTTGGTCACCTGGTCAGTATCACAGCCCTCACACATATCGAATGAGATTTGTGTGACGCATATATATCTGGTGCCTCCTTGTACCAATATCTATGTGTTCATATAAATAAAATAAATAAATAATAAATGATCAACTTTACCAATTTAACATCTTTATATTGATGCGAATCTCCATTTGAATCAATCTGATGTGCCGTCATAAATTCCCAATGAATATTTGGTAAAGGATTACCATGTATTACGCATTTTATAGATAAAGATTCATTCATTAAAACAATTTGTTGTATAGATGAATGATAAAGGATACTTCTCTTTTCAATTTTAGTTAATTCTTTATTCACATGTTCATTTGTTGCTAAGGTATTTGAATCAAATAGAAGTTTTATATCTGGGCCAGTTTTCATAGTATGTAGAATTAAATGATTAATAACACATGTATAAGTAAGATTTCTTTTAGTGAATGAGTTTATATTGAATAAATGTAAATTACCTGTTGAAAGTGAAGATGTAAAGTAAATTATAGTTACTAGTATAGGGGTTGTGAAAATTACTAAGTTTTTGATTGAGATCATGAATCGATTGGTGTTAGACCACCTTTGGATGCCGGCTCAGTGGTCCAGTAGGTTAAGCGTTCGCGCGCGAGACTGAAGGCCTTGGATGCGAGTCCTATGGGCGGGATCGTGGATGCGGAATGCTGAGGAGTCCCACAATAGGACGAAACAGCTGTCCAGTGCTTCCAGGTTTCCAAAGGTGGTGGTCTAACATCAATCGGTTTATGATCTCAATCAATAAATTATAGTTATTATTCACAGTTATATAATATACCCTTATGGGCCAGGGTAATCTTACATTGGTTTTCAGGAGAACCAGACTTTTACGTGACAACCCAAAACAGTACAGCTCAAGCCCGCTTCACAGGAGAGCCAGACACCACTCATGCTTACATTTTATAAACCGAGTAGTACAGCTCAATCCCGCTTTACAGGAGAACCAGATACCGTATAAGCTTTAACGTTACAATCTGAATAGTACAGCTCATGTCTTAATCAAAATATGATGACAGTCAACTTATAGTTGGATCAGTGATAGAATCTCACTTATCAATGGTCTACTTGAAGTTTGTATTGATGATATTGCTCAGAAGAACAAAGAAAACTTCATGACTAAACCATCCAGCTCAGAGAATAAAGCTCCATATAATTTTATAAATTAAATCTATTCATGAATGAATACCGTTCGCTTCAAACGCCACCGCTTGATCCACAAGCTACGTGCCTATGCATTAAAGTAAAGTTTAAATTCACTTGGAATTGTTTACTTGAATCTCCCCATGAATGTTTAGGGCTGCAATTGATCAGGTACATCCAGCTAACGAGTCCCAAATAGGACAAAACGCGTGTCCTGTATTGCACTGTTGGGCACTATCCATTTTTGCTTATTATCCATCTGTAAAATTTCAGGTTCAATATTATGTACATTTCAGTGGCCAAAATCATCTTTTCTTCTCGAAAATTGATCTTCTATGATCAGCTTATTTTCACGGTTTTGGTATTCGTCTAGAATTGCTGTTATGATGTTGTAAGTTTAGCTGACTCATGTTTTGCCAAAATCTACACTGATGATGACTGACTGTAAAACTTGGGCAATTATTCACTTGGATAATTTGCAAAAATACTGTCAATCATGATAACTTTGATGTACATTTTATTCTTTTCACATCCAAAATTAGAACTGTATACTATCAGAATGGATGCTTGTGGAGACTAGTAATTTTAATAGTTGAATACATGAAAGTAGCAGAAGACCGTTTCGTTCTAGTATAGGATTCCTGAGCAGTATACATCCACGATCATGCATGCGGGACTCAAACTCATAACTTTCAATAGCTCACGTGCTCGCGCGTGGACCGAAGTCACTGGGTTCGTGTTCCGTGAGTGGAATCGTGGATGTGCATTGACGAGGAAACCTATAATGGGACGAAACGTCTGCCCATTACTTCCAGGTTTTCTATGGTGGTCTAGATTAGATTGACTCAGCTATTGAAAAAAGAACTGTATACATTTATTCAGTAAATACTGTATCACGTCTTTCGAAACCATAATAGAAACTTGGCTTCACTCTTCTTTCCTCACACATTAAGGTTGAGTTAAGAAATAACATTTAGGGAACTGTATTAAGCGTTCTTCTAGTTTCTTTATAAAATAGCCTGACTTATTTAGTAACCATGCTAAAATTACTACTTATTTAGAAAATAAAAATTTACTCAATTTAACAAGTGGTCTTTCCTGATGTGAAATAAAACTCAGCCTAGGGCCCTCTGGGGCTACTGCCGGTCCCAAGTCCGGATAAAGGAGGAGGGTTAGGCATGGGTCGGCAACTCCATTCCGTAGAAAAAATGCTGCCAAAAAACCTCAACCAGAAGTATGTGAAATAGATATTAGAATGTTTATTGTTTCCTATTTAGTATTCGTCAGATGAATATAGTCACTTTCCAATCTTCATAAGCTCTTTGGGATTCGAACTCAGTACATGTTTACTCTAAACACCACTGAACTACCAAAGTCAAATTGCTACTATTCAAGTGATAGAATGTTTTGTCTTTCCTTTATTAACCAATTAATCTCAATTGTTAGTACAGGGTTGTGGAGATTATTAAGTTATTGGTTGAGATCTTGAACCAATTGGTGTTAGACCACCACTGAAGATCTGGAAGCAGTAGATGACTGTTTCGCCATATTATGGGACTCCTACTTGACAGTGAACATACAAGATCCCGTTCACGGGATTCGAACCCAGGGCCTTCAGTCTCGCGCACAAACGCCTAACCTACTAGACCACTGAGCCGGCCGGTATCCAATGCTGTTAATGCCTAACTTCAAACAATTCACGAAATTACACCACCATGTTCATTGTACTGAGATAGATAATTGTCTCTACCTAACACGGATTAGTTGCACTAATGGTCTAACATCATAATCTCGATTAGCTCATTTACTGAACAAGTATATACCTTCGAAATAATCAACTGATGGATCGATCACATTGTGTTAATACTCATAACAATAATGAACCTAAGAATAGAATACTAAGATTCATAGGCAGGTAAGTCATTCATTATTGAATGAAATGAAGAGTTGAAAAGCTTACAAAAATTAAATAGTCGAATTACGTGTATATATGTGTGATATTTTTGTTTGTTTCTTCAATTCAGATGTCTTTCTTTCTATTTCCCATGTTACTTGGTGTTTCCCTTTTGACTCTCCCTTTCCCCCCTCTCTCTCTCTGTCCTTATCTCTTATCCTAGTGACAAGAAATTAATTAAACTAATTGATTGAGTAAATTATGTTCTTTATATGAATACAAAATGGATATTCTATACATTAGCCTTCATCATCATTATTGTTAGTTGTATACTATCCATAATGAACTATTATACATTCTCTTATATATTTGTTAAACATTTAGAGGAGAAAAAAGAAAACCAAATTAGTAAAATGATTCCTACTTGAATGTAAGAGATACAACATAATGGATGATTGAGTTTTCTAATGTTCTAATCTATATGTATATATATATGTATACAAACACTCATAAATTTGATCAAGAATGAGTAAGTATCTGTAGTTCAGGTGGATGATTTTTGATGTCGTTTTGTTTTCTTATCTGGATGGTTTAATCGTGAAGTTTTCATCGTTCTTCTGAACAACATCATAGCCATAAACTTGATGTAGAAGTGAAGTGTTTGAAGTTTGTGCTGATGTTGCCATTCAGTAGAAAGCTCCACGATTAAATCGTACAGCTTAGAGAACAAAATTCTATGAAAATGAGTATGTATCATTTGATGAAGATCAATTAATTTTAATAGTTGAGATCATGGAACTAGACAACCATAGAAAACTTGGAAGCACTGAATTAACCATTTAGTCTTATTGTGGGACTTCTTAGCAGTGCACATCCAAGATTTGAACCTAGGACCCATCAGTCTCGTTCACGAACACTTAACCTTAAGACTGCTGAGCCAGCTGGAATCCAACGGTGTTAATGTCAATCTCTTAGATGTATACCTTATCTGACTAGTTACTCTTTACAAAGATAATATAGTTTCGTATGTATATAAAATGTACTTGGTACTTAGAGCAGGGACTATTTGACTTATCAGTTGCTAACAAATGAAAACAGAAACCAACCCGAGTTTTTTTACAAAGTACTTGACTATTTGATGATACAATGCTGTTTAATAAAATGTTGGGTTTTAGATGTGACTGACTACTAACAACAAATTTAAAAAGATTAAAAATGGGTTCGGACTTGTAATCTACTGTTGTTGTTACAGATGGATATCTTTCTTGAATTTATGATTAGTATCCTCTGATATCCCAACTGTTGCTCCCACCTTACCAAACATTTAATTTGTGTGAGGGATGGAATAATGTTCGGTTGCCCAAACTGAAGCAGTTGATTTTCTCAGGGAGCCATACCCCGAGCGTTTCATCAATAGTCTAGTCCACAACATAGTCCCATGGTATCTGGAGACCAACAATAGGTTCATACACCATATGAATCTTCAGGATACTAGAGTCTATGGGAACCACTGGTTTAGAATCCAGATTTTCCAACTTCTCTAGATTGATCCTGTAAATCCACCAAACCGGCTAAATCATCGGACATTCGTTATTTGTCCTCTCAATTTCATAAACACTCTCACCATGAGAAGGTAGTGAGTAGGATCTCCCTGTCGCTGTCTGTATATACGTGGTCATGTGAGTACATACGAGAGAGAGAGAGAGAGCTGACTATTACCACTCTATGCCATCCCACCTTGTTGATACATATATTTCCCTCTGTTCTCTGGAGAAATGAGAGGTAGTTACTACTGAATTAAGACTTTAAATATATTCAAATATGAAAAGAAATATGATAGGGGTAAGTGTCATTGTAAACATTTCTAGACAAGTACTTTTGAATTGCAATAAAACAGCTGTCTAGTTCTCCTTGATCTTTAATGATTGTATAACTAAAATCAATGAATGATGTAGCATATGCTAAGTAGATGAACGGTAACTAATCATTATTTAAAGGATCTTTAAGCATCTTCACAAGTTGAATGGGTATAAAAAGAGAGATTTTTTAAAAATGTTACATGTTTTGGGGCTGAGAACTGTTGCTGTAATCTTATTTTACAACTGAAGATACCTAACTTCGAAAACGAATGAAAATATACTAGTTGGCTTCATTTCTTCTTTGCATATTTAAAAGTACAACTTCTGGTGTAGATGAAGTTTATTTCTTTTTGATTGAGATTATAAAATGATTAATGTTAGACCATCATTGAAAACCTGGAAACACTGGATGGCCGTTTCGTCTTATTGTGGGATTTCTCGGCAGTGCGCATCCACGATCCCGCTCACGGTTCAACATTAACACCGTTGGATACCGTTTTCTAGAGGTTAAGTGTTCATGAGCAAGAATGATAGGTTCTAGGTTCGAATCTAGCAAGGCGAGGTCATGGGTGTTTGCCCTGTTGAGTAGTCCCATACTAGAACGTAACGACCATTCAATGCTTTCATGTTTTCAATGGTGGTCTAGCCTTGATCAACTCATGAGTTCAACTATGAAACTGATTACATATATAATTTTACAATACAGAAAGTTACTATCACAGTAATCAATAGGAAGGAAGTACATACATATAAACGAAGTGTATACACGTGTGTGTGTGTGTGTGTAAATTAAGATAGAAAGCCATTGGAATGTAACAATTATAAAAGTGATATAACAAGAGTATATTAGTAAAAAGACATCACATAACTGTAATTGAATTAGTTTCATTACAGGAAACAGAAAGTATATAAACTTGAAATCAAGTCATGTTGTTTCTTTATATCTGTCTTATAGGAAACCGGAAGAATGTATTACACTAGTTTGATTTCTTTGTTAATAAAGGTAATAGTATAGAGATAATTGTTGCTTTCTGTTTATTTTACATAAACTACTATGACAACTTATGAAGGAATGAATGTAAGATAAGTATTGTCAATGTAGTAATACCCCTTTCCCCCCACTACTTCCTAATAGTCTCAATGCATTCTATCAATCTCTCTAAATACATAAATATGGAGTGTATGTATTAGAGTTAGTAAGAAAGTTTCACGTAGAACTTCTAAGGATTTATTTGATTTCTGTTTTCAAGTTTTCTTTTCCCTTTTTTTCCTCTTTTGTTTTAAAAAAGGGGGAGAAAAAGAGAAAGGAGTAACTCAGAAGAAATAAGCCATCACATAGTGTATATACTTTGCTGAAATACACACAGTTGGTTTTGATCGATTTTTGTTCTCTGAGCTGGATGGTTTGGTCATGGAGCTTTCATCGTACTTCTAAACGACATTATCGCACAAACTTCTATCTGAAGTCGTTCAGAAAAACGATGAAAGCTTCACGACCAGGCCATTCAGTTCAGGGAACGAAACTCAATCAAAATCATCCACCTGAGCTACAAATCTTCTCCACATACAGTTGGACAATGTACTCGTTTCTGTAGTGTTGTACCAATCAGATACAAAAAGAAACTTGACAAAGATCCTGATTCATCGTGATAGAATGATTTGCTTGGATGATGTGATTGTAAATGAATTGGTTAATATTTGTAACATGCTTAATAGGAATGGATACCGAATAAAATTCATTGACAAACATATGAAAGAGATGAAAAGAAGAACAAGGGTATCGACTCTTCCGTTCAGTCATTCAGTAGAACCAGGCACATAAATGCATCAGTTCAAGTTGTCACACCTCAATTAGCACAGCAAGACGAACACTTGAATCATAGAAGCAGTTAACTCAGTGGTGTAATATATGAAGGAAAGATTGTATATAAGGACATAGTACAGGAAGAAAGAATTAGTTGGTAGAAAGAAAGATATTAAATAATTTTAGTCTCATAGTTCAAGGGAAGACAGAGAGTACATACACCTAGCCCATTGTGATCGTTTCTGACCGGTACCATCCAGAGTCTCCAACCATTGGTTACGATATTCATGCGGACTCCAACCAAATAGTCTGCATCTACCAACATGACTCAGACTAGAAGTTGATCAATTCAAGGACTGATGTCATGTTTTGATTTGGCCTCGCCTAACTTTATTCCGACTATCTCAACACTAGTCAGCATTGTGCGTCGTGGTAATCGGTGTTCAGGCATACACAACACGTAACCCAACCACCTCAGTCGATGAAGATTCACTAAAAGGTCATCTATAAATGATGATCTCACCATAATAATAATGACTATTGTTATCATTATAACTTGCATCAATATGATGTCACATATATTTCTGGTGGAAAATTACAGTCCAATGTTTGTCGGCCTCAAAAAACTAACAACCGAAATATAAATTATGACAAACCAGTAAACTAGATTAATGAACTAAGCAATAGATTGTATAGGAAAGAAATCCTAACGGGAGAGAGACAGGGAGGGAGAAAGCAAGATTGAAACCGAATTCTGTGAAAGTCTGACATCTAATTTAGAAGATCGGCAATTATTAGGTACAAGAAATGTTTCATAGTGATAATGCTTTGATGTATACCATAGATTTTTTCCAAACCACATTGACAATTGAATTGACCCTCAAATGCTCTGATGCAGCCGAGAGTAGGGACAGTTAGCTATCCCCCCTCAAAATCCTCTCACATGGACACGTGCATACAACCACTTACAGAGACGTCCTACTCACTTCCTTCTCGTCACTCGGGTGTTGTTTACCCGGTGCTTTAACCGGGTTGGTGGATACGGAGGGTTCACCCAGGTGAGTTGGTGTACATGGGTTCTCCATGATGATCTCGCTTCGACTGACTCATGATCACAACTATTAAAATTACTATAATATTCACAAAACCCCTTCTGATCACTACGCATTTCATTGGAATAGAACTAAGCCAAACAAAACAAACACATATAAAATCATCATGGAATATAATAAAAATTCATCATCACTTACCATCATCATCAATAATATGATTACGATCTTCATGTATAAAATTTATTGAACCATCTTCATCATCTTTGATCATCCATTGGATTTTAGCAGTTGGTATACTTTTTGTTGCGGAACAATTTAAAATTTTTGTTTCATTCGGTTTTATATGAATTAGTTTTGGATTAAGATCTTGAAATGTACCAATTCCTATGAAAAGATATATATATATATATTGTGAAGATTGTTGTATTCATGACTTGATCTAAGCTAGAGTACCATTGAAAGTATGGAAGTACTGGACGACTGTTTCATTCTAGTATGGAGCTTCTAAGCAATGTATATTCACGATCTCAAACTCGAGACACGAATCCAGGAACTTTGGTCTCGCACGCAAACTATTAACTTCTAGACCATTGAACCAGCATTCAACGATTGAAGTAAGACATTCGCGCGAGAGATCAAAGGTCATATGTTCGAGTCCTGTATGTAAGATCGTCGGTGTGCACTACTCAGAAGCTTCATACTAGGATGAAACAGACATCCAGTGCTTTCAGATTTTCAATGATGGTCTAACATCAATCGATTCATGATCTCAATCAATAACTTAGCAATCTCCACAACCTCATACTGATTGTTTGAATATGTAAAAAATAATTAATAACCTATTACCTCGGCATAATTTTGATTTACTGTGATAAATACACAATGGATATTTCTAAAATTATTGAATTAATCAGAAGAGGTTGATGAGGACGATAAAACGAGATAATAGACGTATATAAATCAAGTTTGATTTAACAATTGAATTGACAAGTCTATCTAAGCTAGATCAGCACTAAAACAAGTGGAGTACAATTCGTGTTGGGTGTGAGACAGTTATCCACCTCAGACAATGAATAAAGGGTCGCGTATCCATTCATGGATCGACAGAAGTTAGACATCAACACAATCGGATGCCGATTCAATCGTCTAGAGACTAAGCGTTCGCACATGGACAGAAGGTCTTGAGCTCGAGTCCCTTTTGTGTGGGATTGTCGATGTGCATTACTGAGTAGTCCATACTAGGATGAACCGGTCATCCAGTGTTTTTAGGTTTTCAATGGTAATCATGCTTAGGTTGACTCATAAATTCAGCTGTTAGAATTTAAAAATAATAATACAAGAAAGTGTTCTTTATTCCAAAGATCTTTGTAAGTTTCATTTACTTTGAGAAATTCACTAATGGGTTACATATTTAATATACTAAGCAATTTTAAAAACAGAACAAACATTTAAAAGCGTTCGCACGCGAGACCGTAGTTCCTGAGTTCGAATCCCACGAGCAGTATCATGGATGCTTACTGCTGAGGAGTCCCATAATTGGACGAAACGGCCGTCCAGTGCTTTCAGGTTTTCAATGGTAGTCTAGCATTAATCAATTCATGATATCAATCAACAACATGTTATACCACAACATCAGTAGCAAAAGAATTAAAATGATATTAGTATCCATATTAATTAAAAGGATTAAATATCACAAGTATTTCCAGCTGAAGAACACCGAATAGGAAGAAATTTGCTCCCTGAATTATACTTCTAGCCTCTATTTGACTCTGCTTAAAATACTTGTGATCTGACAGTGATATCAAGGGGATTCGCACTAGATGCATGAATGCCGAAAGAGACCGATCAGTTTCAATCCATAGTATTAAGAACGAAATATTCAAACAACCTTTACAAATGTATTAAAATTCACCCTGTTAAACGCAATAGTGGTTATCTGCACTCGCTAATTAAGTAGATAACACAGTGGTATTTAAAATGAAGGTTATTGTATTTGATTCCCAGTGGGAGCATTAACACTAAGGTGCAGATGCATCACCTCATCCTTAATTCCTTAGGTACTCATAATCCAAAGCTGCTAAATCGCAGAATACGGCTCAAATAGAAGGAATAAAGTATCCAGTAATGTTGAATCCTATAAATAAATAGAAGATAAATAGTGAACGTATCCGTACTGCGGTTGATTCTGGGTAATGTTTCCCAACGTCTACAATCCCTAAACACATCTATCGTGTGGAAACAAACTAGTTATTCCGTACATAACAACACACTTTAGTTCATTAGTTTATGATTTCATGGACTAATGGGTTGCCTTTAGCATTCTTTTTTCAGTGTACCTCTACTTCCGTGAACAATGATCGTCAAGGTAACAAGTGATGTAGCATACATACATACATGGTTTTCATCGTAATCCCAAGTGATGAATACAACTTATAAATGATACTAATATCTAAGTCATTTATGATAAAAGGCTAAAACTTTTGATAAACAATGATTTTCCCATCTATTTAAGGTTAAAGATTGAAACATGATTACGTCACTTAAGATTTTGTTATTTTATTGATCCGATATCATTAATACTAAAAGTACACTGTAGATAATGATGATGATGTCATGAAGCTTTAAAACAATTGGAATATAAAACTTAACATCTTTTATATTAAAGTACACAGAAACGAACATTTCGATAGCCCTATCAATGATTACATCATTTAAAACATTAGACGTGTAAAGATGAAGGTTAAACGATCACACTATATCTCAATAGTTGAGATCATGAGTCAGTTGAAGCTAGACCACCATAGAAAAGCGGGAAGCACTGGACGGTCGTTTCGTCTATTGTGGGACTCCTCACTAGTGCGCACCACGATCCCGCCTCTCGAGATTTGAACCCAGGACCAATCAGTCTCGCGCTTCAGCGCCTAATCATTTGACCACTGAGCCGATATTCAACAGTGTTAATGTCTAACTTCAACCAGTCCACGAAGTCGCGTCACTGTCTACGATTGTCATCAGTGAGTTACTATCTTACAACAGACCCAATCGAACTCCACTATTCATGACTTCCTCCGCCAGGAATTACCTCTTGGAGTCTGTCACTAGTAAGCATATAATGATTGTAATCGGATGTAGACTTTGTGGATATTTTAGTAATTTAATAGTTGAATTCATGAGTCAATTGAAGTAGATCATGTATGGATGTTTATGATACTTGTTCATTTTAAATATAATTTATACCATGGAAAATTAACAGATAATGTGAGAACACTGATAGTTTTATTGAAATCATAAATCGATCAATGTTAGATCATTAGTGGAAACCTAGAAGCACTAGACGGACGTTTCGTTCTTGTATGGGACTCTCCAGTAGTGCGTAACCGCGATACTGAGTGATGAATTTGGGCACAAGAAATTTAGTCTCAATGAACGCTTAACCTCTAGACCACTGAACCAGTATCTGGCGGTATTAATGTCTAACCTTAATTGGTCATCGACATAGAACGATTATCTTCTATTGTCTTTGGTGAGTAATTACTTCATGCCCCACATGGTTGAATTCCACTGGTCATAGCTTCTCACTAGAACTCCAAGAATTACTTCTTAAAGCTAGTCACTAGTGAGCATATGAAAGTTTTAAGTTTGGAGTTGTGAAGATTCTTAAATTTCATTGAAATCATAAACTGATAAATGTTAGACTACCATCGAGTTGGATGGTTTAGTTTTGGAGCTTTCATTGTTCTTTTGAACGACATCATCAGCACAAACTTCAAGTAGAAAGCTTTCTGTGATGCACGTACATCCAGCTGATGAGTCCCAAGTAAGACGAAACGCTCATCCTGAACTCTATTGCTAGCCACTATCTATCTTTTCTTTTATGATATCAGTTGTTTTTTTTTATAATTCACGGAAGAAAAAGAAGAAGAAGAATTACATATTATGTCATAATGAGCTATTATGCAATCAACTAATTAAAACTTACTTGCCACTTCTAATTTCAATGGAATTGATAAAGCTTTACCAAATGGATTAATAGCAATACATTGATATAATCCAGCTATCAATGATTTGATATTCGTTGAATACCAAAATACCATAAACCTGATTCATCCATAGAATGTAAGTGATATGAATCATTGGAATGTATTAATTTCTTTGATAACATTGTATTGTATGGCTTAATCCAGTTGGCTTGTTTTCCATTCAATGTCCAATAATACCTAATTAATTATAAAGCAAAAGGGGCAAAACTAGAAATATCTGAGATTGAGTGGATAGATTAAAAGAAGAAAAAAGATCTGTGTTAAACATGGTTCAGTTTAATTGTATTAACATTATGTTGATCGAAACTGCATCCTTTCAATTCAGCATCGAAACGTTTCAGATTTTTATTTTTGTCTTGTGAATATACAATAGTTGAAAGCTAAGATGATGGTTGAAGATAGTCAACAGGAAACCCTGGATCTAGGTTTCGTGCTACTTGACACTCGTCAGTACGATGACGTGTACCTGTAATCTTGAGGGAACTGATGCTCTTTGACAGATTTGATCTCATGTCACACATTCACAGTCAGAGACTTTACCACTGAGTTATTCGGTCCGTGACTGACCTCCTGTATGACTAAGATGTATTTAAAATTGATTAATCACTGTGTGGTGATCAATATCATTGTATGTCAGGTCCTTCTTAGTGTAGATTGAATCCTATCGACCAATCAGAAGCAATCAAAAGAAAGTCACATTATCAATCATAGATTGTAAACAATTCATACTACATTTATTAACCCTGTTGGTCATAATAAAAACTGATTGACACCAAAATGGTATATAATAGAACTAGACTGACTGAAAAGTTTGTTTTAAATATAAATTTACATCAACACAAGCCTAATATATATATGAAATGGCGGTCACTTTGCTACATAATGAACTAACCTCCTGTTGTGAAGCAAATTATGAAAAGACTCTAAGAGTGGATAGGGCAGAAGTTAATTGCTTCACAAGGTAAGTCATAACTTAGGGTTTTCAGGACACATAAATATTGGTACAAAGGGGCACCGATCACATATACGACACACAAGTCATTTGATTTGTGTGTGGGCTATGATATTGCCTAGGTGTCCAAACCGAAGCAGGCGGTTTTCTCAAGGAGCCACATCCTGAGACTTTGACCTCAAGGTCTGATCCATAAGGTAGTGGAACAACTTTTGGAGATGTAGTTCCGTGGTAGCCTGTGAACAATAGTTTCATACGCCATTTTTTTCATTTAGGATACTGGAACCTATGTGCACCGTTCGTTTTGAATCAGACTTTTCCAACTCCTCTAAATGAATCCTCCATATCCACTAATCCAGTTAAAGTAGAGGATATTCACTGTTTTTCCTCTCAATTGCGTAAACAACACTTCCATCACGAGAAGGTAGTGAGTAGGAATCCCCTGATAGTTGTTGTTGTTTACGCATGTTCATGTGAGAGCATTTCGAGAAGTAGAGTTGATTCACCCTACCCTCAACCGTACCAGAACATTTGGATCCAAGTAGAATTCGAACTGATATCAACATTTACAACCACATGATCTGATAGTAACCACACTGCTTATTACTCTAACTAGTGCAACACATTATCAATTTCTATATCAGTAATCTACAAATGATTAATAATTAAAAGAACAATAAGTTTAAACACTTTTTATAGCTACATTCCATATAAAATTATGCAACATATGACATAAGTCTAAATATCAGTATAGGGTTGTGGAGATTTTATAAAGTTTTTTTGATTGAGTGTTAGGATCCGAGAAACACTAATGAATGGTAACTTTGGGATCCACTTATGGACCAATACTAAACGTATATTTCAATTGTAACTTAACTATGCATATTCATATTTTGCTTATTATGAGCTTTACTTTGACTTATGAACCATTATTATACGTCTTACCATTCTTGAGTTATAACCAGTATATGAATGGCTACCTCCCTCATTCACAGTCACATCTGGGTAATTCTTCGTACAAATGTTGTTTCCTATTTTATTGGTACGATGTGATCTGTCTGGTTGGTATATAAACCCAGGTATGCTTGAAATAAATGATTCATATCACAGAGGCTAATACTGGTGTTCTGGACTTAACTGGCTGGGCTAGGCGAGAAGCAGGACCGATCAGAACTCTAGACTGCTAGCACGTGTTTTACGCCTCTTTGATTCGATTGATAAGACACTGCCCTCTAATAGGCGGTCACAAGTTATAACATTCGAGATCATGAATTTATTGATGTTAGATCCATCACTTGAAAACCTGGAAGCATTAGACACCCATTTTGTCCTATTGTAGGACTCCTCAGCAGTACGTATCCATGATCTCAGCCTTGCTGAATTCGAACTCAAAGCCTTCATGATCTCATATAACTATATAACATAAATTTAAATGTTTAATAGTTTCGAGAGAGAGAAAAAACAAGCAAACAAACGAACAATTGAACAATATGGCGGTCTGTTCAAATTTACAAACGCCGCTTAACTATTTCTAATCTTTATTTATTTCAACATCATTAATAATGTTCAGTTAATTGCAGAATATTGTGTTTTACATGTTATAAAAAAGGCTGGGAGCTTTCAACTGATGTCAAAGTGAGTTAGTTAGTTAGTAGTATAGTTAGTAGTATAATTGTATTGAAATCATTCATTAATGTATTTGATATCTTTACTATTCTTATTCAATTCATCATAGTCATAAAACAAAAACAGTTAATCAAACTATTGGAATAGAATATGAAGCGGATAATGATAAATGACATTTGATCAGTTCTAATAATAATAATAATCATAATCAGAGATTACGTTTATACCTACATATCTATTTTGGATAGTTACAAGACAGGAATTTCGCAGATTATATATTATATACCGTTGAGTTCCTTACTGTAATCACATATACATACTACTGAATAATATTATTAATAGTAGTAGTAGGAGGAGGAGGAGGAGGGGGAGTCGTAGTAACCAGACAGAGTATCAGGGGAATAAATTAATAGATAGTTCAGTATATAGTAAATATATATTAGTTAAATGGTATTACTTGTTTTCTTTTGTTTAATCTATTCTCTTAAATGTTATGTATGTCAAATTGACTAAAATATCATAGGAATTTCTCAATTGTATTAATGAATTATGTTTAATTTTGCATGTGCTCACAAATCCCCCTGGTAGGAAGGATATTAAACTTACATACAACAGTCTACAACAGTTGTTTTGAAATGTTCATTAAGAAGGACCTGACATACATGACATTCATCACCAACTAGTGATGAATCAATCGTGTATACATCTTAGTCCTACAGGAGGTTGGTCGCGGCCCGTATAGCTCAGTGATAACGTCTCTGACTATGAAGCTGTATGACATGAGATCGAATATGTCAAGGAGCATCAGTTCTATCAAGTTTACAGGTACACATCACTCAGGATTTCCTGTTGACAACCTCTAACCACCATCTTATCTCAACATAGTACACCCAATGTCAAGTCACCTAGACTAGTGGCCAAATCGCAAATTGATCGATAACATTGATTAATACAATCATTGACTCTTGGTCCTAAATTTTCTAGTATGTCAAGTAACATTAAAAAATCAATACTAAATGTCACAATGTTAGTTTTTTAAAATCTCCTTATCTGTTTTTTTTCTTCGACTAGTAACTAATTACGTAATCATTTGTTTGTTTTTTTAAGGACTCTTACTGATTACAACTCAACTTATAATTTACCATGGTAATAAATCTAACTGAATAAATCAATTAATATATCTTATATAAGTATTACATATCTGATGACAAATCAACAATGATCAAAATATATTTACATTAAATGGTACAGATTGCACTACAAATTAATAGGTTAAGTATTCTTTATCATTCATATCTAACTATACAGACTATGATATTGAGATTATAAACAAATATAAGTGAATAGTTGATTAGTTGAAATTAGACATTAACACCGTTGGATGCCATCTCAGTGGTCTAGTTGTTTAGGCGCCTAGCGCGTGACCGATAGGTCCTGGGTTCGAATCCTGCGAGGGTGGGTGCGCACTGCTGAGGAGTCCCACAATAGGACAAAACAGCAGTCTAGTGCTTCCAGGTTTTCCATCGGTGGTCTACCTTCAACTGAATCATGATCTCAGCTGTTGAAATTACTACAATCTCCACAAAACCCCTTCTAATAGTTGATTTCATGAGTCGATTTAAACTAGATAATCATTGGAAAATTTGGAAGTACTGGACGATTACGTGATCTTAGTATGAGATACCTCAACAATAAGCATCTATGATCTAAGTAAGATAAACAAAAACTCACAGTTGACTAGCTTAAAGAGAAGAAATTCCCAGTATTCTAATGAAAAAAACTATAACTAGTATAAGGAAGGTACACATCAAAGATAATGAAAGATGTTTGTACAATTTCGAAGATTGACTGACTTAAGGAATTTATTCTCTAGAACGAAAACTTTGCACTCAATCTCTGGTGACAAGATTGTATATGCACAATACTAAGACGAAATAACAGTCCAATATCCCACATTTTCAATGATTGTATAACTTAAATCGACTTCATGATCTCATCATAACTAAATATAGTCTGTAAAGCAAACATGACAACTGATCATTTCTAATCAAAATACAGTTATCTGAACTCAGTAACTCAGTCGATAACATGTTAAGCATTTGAAGTGAAAAGCATTTGGTTCGAGTCCCGAACTGGACATCAACATACATGAAATATGAATAGTAGATTCCAGTGTTAGTCACTATCTAACTCAACTTTATTTTTTATCAGTATAGAGTTGTGGAGATTAATAAATTATTGACTGACATTCTTGAACCGATTGATGTTAGACCACCGTTGAAAAACTGCAAGCACTAGATGACTGTTTCATCCTATTATGGGAATCCTAATCGACAGTGCATATACACGATCCCGTTCGCAAGATTCGAACACAGGGCCTTCAGGCTGGCGCACGAACGCTTAACCTACTAGACCACTGAGCTGGCCGGTATCGAACGGTGTTAATGTCTAACTTTGAACAATCCACGATATTGCGCGACCATCTTCCATTGTACTGAGGTAGATACCTATCTCTACCTGACACGGATTTGCTTCACTGATCACAACTTCTCGCCAGAACTCCGAGAATTCCTTCACGGATGAGTCCCACAATAGAACG